ATTAAAAAAAATTTCAATTAAAATTAGAGTTAGGCACAATTCGGTACATCTTATGTATGTACATACTACAAATAGTACTGGCTCGGTAATTTTTGGTAATACCATCCAATTACCTAAAACATTATTAATTTTTAGATAAAAGAATTGGGCGTTCTAGTATTAATATGTAATCAAATTAATATTTTAAAGGCTTTGATTAATGATAATTACTTAAAAAATTCTTTTCTTTCATTATTCTTTAGTAAAACAATTAATAAATTATTTTAAAAATATTTTAAAAAAAATCCAAAGTAATTATTCATTTTTATTAATTTCTTTCTTTTCTTTTTTATTTTTAAAATTTTTTTTTTCTTCATTAGATTTTGAAAAATATTTTTAAGGAATGAGTAGAGGAGTAGATCTATTCATTTATTTTATTTTTAAAAAAAAGTGATTGATGAGCGCCAACTTTAAAACCCTTTATTTCTTTCATTCTTTGCAGCAAAACAAACAAAACAATCAATCAAATAAATAAATAAAAAATACTTTTTTAAAGGCGAGAAAATCTGTCAAAAATTTTTTTCTAAACTAACGCGCGATAAAGCGACATTTGTGGATACCCACAAAATGTTAGATAAAAAAATATGAAGACTTAGTAGATAAAACTCGATTTTAGGATTGTTCAGAAACCGAGGATAATTTTTCGGTTCTTCCCCTTATATCAAAAGATTTTCCAAAAAACGACAACCCTACTCAATGACCGTTTTTTCCTATTTCAGTAAGTCTAATTTTGTTCGAAAATGTCGTCGAGCCAGAGTCTCTTTATAAAAATGAACTTGTCATCATTTTTAAGATTTTTTCCTTAAATTAATTAAACAAAATTTAGTAAATTAACTGTCCTTTATTGCGCAACAAAAAATTGAAAGTGTAAAGAAAATATATATTGAAGGCAAGGAAGACCGGAAGTAAGGGACATTTGGCTAAAAGGAAATAAAGGCAATGGAAGGGAATGAGGAAAAAATATATAAAATTAATTTTTAAAGAAAAGGCAGAATTTAAATAAACAGTAGAGCCTGATTACAAAAACCTCGGGGTTGAAAATTTTATTTTAAATTTCAGGTCTATTTATATTGTAGGGACACCATAACTATTTCATAAAAAATAGGTTATACCCCAAAAATTCAATCGCTAGTAATTAGTGTATCCTTTCTTTTATAATCAGGCCGACTGTAAAAGGAAAGAAATTATTATTTTGTAATCGAAAGTTTTTCTTTAAAAACCCGTAAAATCACCAAATAATCGTTGTTTTATTTTAATTACTTCCAGCAATTTGTGCTTGATTATTTCCCCCAAGAGAATTAGCCATAGCTGTTAAAGCAGCCAATTGTGAATTTGAATTTAATTCTGAAGGAGGAGGGGGTGGGGGAATATTGTTATTAGTATTTTGAGCAAATTGTTGAAGTGAAGAAACGTCAGAATTAGCCATTAAATTCTGAAAAAAATTATTATTTTTTGAATATTTATTTATTATTTTAACCAATGCGAGAGCCATTTGTTGCTGAAAGGAAGGAAGTGGTGGCGGCATTTGAACAGATTTTGTTATTTGTTGATTTCCTTGATTTGGTTGAGAATATGGATGGAATCGATGATTTTGGGCTAGAAAGTAAAAAAATAACTATGTTATTCCGAAAGTCTGGAAAGGAGCCAGGATGGGATAACTAGAATAACTTGGGGATAACTGGGAGATTAAATAATGAAGGCTAAAGAATGATAAGGGAGTCCTTACATCTCGAAGCGATACTGGTACGAGTAAGAGGTTTTAAAAGGAAAGGATTAAGAAAGGAAGACCTACCTCCAATCATTGTAGTTGCTGTAGTTGGCTGTGGTGGTGGAGGTTGTGTAGTAAGAGGGGGCCCAAGAAATGGCTGCGTCGGAATAAACCCTAAAGGCGACTGAAATAATTGTTGATGCCAACCAAAATTTTTATTATTATTAGATTGATGATTATTAGTATTTGTTGTTTGTTGTTGTATTCCCGTCGGAGAATTTTTCGTTATTTTAGGTCGCCCATTTGCCGTAGTGGTTGTTGGTGTTTGAATAGTTGTTGAAGGGGTTGAAACAGCAGGGCCCTCTGTTGTTGAACTGACAGCACTTGGAGAACTCATTTGCGCAATATGTGCAGATTTGTAATGAGCAAATAATTGATCATCTGAATTAAATAAACGCCCACAAGGTTGTCCTTCACGTAATCGGTAAGGGCAGGCAAACTGTGAAGGCAACTGACCACAGGCTGCAGCCATTAATAAAGCTGGGATTGGCTGTTGAAGTATTTGTTGAGCTAGGAGGCTAAAAAAGGAAAGATTTTAATAAGAATGAGAGGCCCCCTTCCCATATCCTCAATTACTAGTGATTAGACAAATGCAAAAATCAACGCTTATTTCGTCTCTAATTACTACTATACTGAATAGCCTTGGGCCGTTAAAGTCCAAAATTCCCACAATCTCCCCCTACCTATTATCAACTGTTTGTTGTGTCATTGTTGTCCCTCCGTTAGAGGCAAGTCCTTGCCCGAAAGAATTATTTTGTTGTTGTTGAAACATAGCCATTGCAAGAGTAGCTGCTTCAATATCAGAATTTTGTTGATTATTGTTGTTGAATTGGTTATTAGCACTTGGAGGTCTTTGGTCTAATTTTCTTGCTGGCACGGGCATATTGGCAGGAAGTGGAATACCTGATGGATTTTGGGGATGTTGTTGAGGAAACATCTAAAACAAAATAAGATGGATTGTTAATCCACTTTAGTTTTTAATTTAGTTGGCTATTTGGTGGGAGATATAAACGATTTCCTCCCTCCCCACACTTTAATATTGAGATCCGACAAAATAAAAAAATTTACAGAAGGAAGAAAATTTGGCGGTAATTGTTGTTGTGTTTGAAGATTAGTCGGAGGTAATGGTGGCGGAGGAGGAGGTAATTGTTGTTGTTGAACAGCTGCAGCCATAAGTTGTTGCATAAAATGAAGTTGAGCTGGGGATGTAAATGGAGAGGAATTTGGGGGACAAAAATTATTTGAAGGAGTAAAAGTTGGTGGTCTTTGTGTTGGCATTAAAGGATGCAAAAAAGCAGCAGCAGCCAACTGCATTGGATGGGAAAGTCCAAAGCCATTGGGTGGGGGCATAAAAGGGGGAATAACATTGGGCATTGCTGCTTGGTCTAACTAAAAAATTATTTTAAAATCTTTGTCTACAAATTCCCCCCCCCCTCCCTCTCTCAATTAATTAATCTCTCTCCCTTACTTTATTAGGACTTTTAATTTTTATTTTATTCTGTCCATTTTTAATTCCTCCAAAATCATTATTATTAGAATTTCCATTTAAATATTTTCTTTTATTCCCCATTTGTTGTTTATTAATTTTATCTTCGTCTCCACTAATTGTGTCACATTGTTTAGCTAACATTTGTAAAGGATCGTCTTTCCATTCGTGTTTTTGTTGTTGTAAAGGAAGGCTATTATTAATTGTTGTTGTTATTGCTTGCTCCATTTTAAGGCGATTTAATAAAAAAATATCTATTTTTGCTTAAAATGATAAAAAATATGTAGAGTGAAGAAATTGTTAAAATTAGCAAAAAAAAAAGAATTTTAAATAAAATATAAATGATGTATTTAAATTGATAAAAAATGTTTTTTAAGGATAATAAAAGCAGAGAATAAAAATTGTAAAATAAAAATCATAAAATGAAAGGAAAGGAAAACAGAAAGGGAGGTTTGGACGTTGGGAAAGGTATGGAGTGATAATTTATATGGAAATTTTAAAAATTCTGAAAACTCTTTGAAGAGAGAGGGGTAGAGGTACCCTCTCTACTACAAGCGGGGTAGAGAGACAACCGTTTGAAGAATAAATGGCCCTCTTTGTCAGTAAACATCTTATAAAATAAAATTTATTTTTGTGAATATCTCCACGCCAAAATATCCCTCCCCTCCCCCTTTAAAATTTTCTCAATAAAAATAAATAAAGCCATAAAATAATTTTATTAGAGAAAAGTCAGTCATAAAAATAAATAATAAATCAGAAAAGGAGGAAGAAGAAGATGTTTCTCTCTCTCCCTCTCTCTCTCTTCGCCTTATAAAAAACATTAAAAAATAAAAATAATAAAATAGTAATGAGCTATTTAGATCAAAGGAAAAAATAAAATATATTTAATTACTTTTTCTGATTAATTTTCCCTTATTTCTTTCTCTGCAACTGACGAATATTTTAAGTGATTAATTACGCGAATGGGAAAAGAAAATAAATAAAAATAAAAGGAAGAATGTTGACGAGAAGAGAAAGAAGGGGGGGGGGAGGGGAGGGGAGGGAAGGGAGAGATGAAAAAGTTTTGATTAAAATTAAAAATAAATTATTTTTATTAGAAAAATAAATTCTTTTTTTTAATGGCGATTGTTTGGAAAAGATAAGCTTTTTACGTAAATAAATAAGGGTGGGAGAATTATAAAATAATTATTTATTTAATTGTTTTTGTTAAGGAAGTTTGTAAAAAAATTAAAATAAATTTATTAGAAATGAGTGAGAGAATTAAAAAAATATCCTTGAGGATAAAGGAATAAATACAATGAAGTTATCTTAATTGTAAGGTATTCTGTTTAGACTGCAATCCCCTACTCAAAAAATTATTGCAATTACCTTATACATAATTGCTATAATTAACAGCAATTCCCTTCTCTTTCAATAATTTCCTTTAAATTAATTTAAAAATTAATTTAAATGATTTATTTAAAAAGAAAGGCAATAAAGATTAAATTTATTTATTTAATTGGTTTTGGCAGGTCCGACAAAAAAAGAAAAATTCTTTTTTTCTTTGATTGGCGGTGAATTGAAGGGAAAGGAATTTGAAGTGGTTTTTTTTGTAAAATAAATAAATAGTATTTAATTTAGCGGTGATTTGTATTGAAAATAAAAAAGAGAGAGGGAGGGGGGGGAATTAAAAGAATAAATTAGGTATGTTTTTAATTATATTCTTTAACTAATTCTGAAAATAAAAAGGTGAAGAGAGATTGAGGGGAGGGGGGGGGGTATTTAAAAGTAAAGGAAGTAGGGAGGAGGGGGGGGGGTGTCGGAAATCAGAACCAAAATAATGAAACTTGTAAATTAGAAATCCGATCAACTTGAGAATAAAAGCAAAGCAATCCTCCTCCTCCCCCATTTCAAATCCCCATATTTTAAATAAAGCAATACAAAAAAAAAGTAAAAAGAATTTTAAATATTCAAAGTTTAAAAAAACTATTTATTCTTTTATTGTTTGTTGCAATGAGAAAAAGCATTTTCAGCCAACAAAACTATTTTCGTGGGTAAAAATGAGTAAAAATAAAAGGAGGATTGCATGGGCGTTGTGTTGAACGAAATAAATAAATATATTTTAGAGTGTTTGTTTGCCCCTCCCTCATTCCCCCCCCTCTCCCCTCCCTTTTACCACCGGGGCGGTCTCCTCTCTCCCTTTCCCTCTTACCGCGCCTGTCGGCCCTTTGTCGCCGCCGTCAGTCCGTCGCCATCAATCACCATCAAAATCAATGGACAGAAGAAATTGATCCCATACCATCAAAAAAGTGGGAAAGGGAATAAGTAAGTAGAGGATGAAGGAAGGGGGAAGGGGGTTTCTTTTTTCTTTCTTCTTCAATTCCTTCAGTCGGCAAAAAAAAAGAAGATTGAGTGGCATCTTTTCAAGATTTATTGCGCCTTCTTAACTGGCATGGGTGGGAAATGGCCCTTGAAAGGCGCCAGAGGGCTTAAAAAAGTACATACTTGAATAATAGTTCTTTTTTCTCTCATCCTTCTTTTCTACCCAATTAATCATTGAAAAGAAGATTTTTTAATGTTTTGCAGCCTTTTCAAAAATAAGAATAGATACCTTTTTTTCCTTTCTTTTCCTTCTGCCAAATTCTGGATGAGCTGATAATAAATAAATTTTTTTTTATTTTTTAAGGCAAAACTCAAAATGGCGCTGCTTTACAAAAGAAAGAATTAAAGGGAAGGGAGCCTTCCTTTATAGTTTGTAGGTATTTATATTTTTTCACCCGCTGGGCAGACAATAATAAAAAGATGATCAAATGATGGATGAATAAAATAAATATAAAAATGGAAATGAGAAAATAAAGAAGTTAAATATTTAGTAGATGTGTGTGTAAAAAGTATCATCCTTGCATTTCTTAAAATTAATTTAATATTAATGGAATTTAATATTGAAAAATTGAAAAAAATTAAAATAAAATAAATACATTCAAGCCTTCTCAAGACATAAATCCAATATAATAAATAATTTTCAATTTACCATAGATATACATTCTACATAATTGAATGGCCGCCATTTTATTTTCGATGCCCTTAAAATGGATCATTCAATTGGAGGGGCCTTTAATTAGAATAAATACGGTATGATACATTCTTTAGATTTTGTAGGTCATTCGGCAGAGGGAGATAGTATTTTTTGGGTATGCCTCTCTGAAATGTAAAAACTGAAATAAAGGTGCTTATCATGATTAGTACATACTTCCATCCCACACCGACAATTGCGGATAGACAAAACTAAAAAAACTCTTTATTTTACTCATCAGTATCTAAACAAATATATTTAGATAATCAAGCAGCATATTAACAAAAAATAACTTAAAACTGCTGCTAAATAAAATAAAAATAAAATTTATTTATTTCGTTTTAGCCAAATGTCTAAAAAATATTTTTTTCTTTTTTCTTAAAAAAATTATTTTTTTCTCGCCATTTTCTCGTCCTCAGTTGATGGTCATCCGTCATTCGGCAAATCTAGAGGCAGTTTCAAGATCGTGATTTATTACCTAAATTGATGGAGAAGAAGGCCGGAAGGAAATTGAAAAGGAAAAAAGAAGAAAATTTTAAGAGTTTTTGGCAAACAACAAGGAGGGAATGGATGGGAGAGTGGGGGGAGAGAAAGCTAAAATAAATAACAAAATAAAAATGATGGCGGCATTAAAAAATAAAAAAATGTTTTTCGAATATAAAAACACTTACACATTTATTAAAATAATTTTAGGTAGAAATTTTATGGACCTTTATTTATAATGTCAAAATCTCAATGTCGTTTAATTGTTTTTATGAAGACTTAAAACAATTTCATACTTTCTGAAATAGTTCAAGGAAATATTAAACAAAAATTTAGCATTTATATCCTTAATTTGCAACATGAGAATTGCACATTTTTAGTTTAGTATTATATTACAAATATTTAAGAAAACTATTAAGAAAACTATACATATATGTCGCTGCCCAAATTACATTTCAAGCCAAATGATTATTCGGCCGGCCAAATTACATTCATTTTAAGAAAAATCTATTTTTCTGTGTTTCAAAGTTAGGGTATGGTTCCGTAACAAAGAAAAATTCAAATTTTGGGGTTTCAGTCCCCCAATTGGACTGAAATGTAATTCGACCTGCGACATAGGTATCTATTTTTTCAATAATTTATATAAAAAATAAATTGATATTTTTATTTAAACAAAGCATTTTAATGTTTCAAAAAATAATTAAAAATTGAAAAAGCATTTCGATGAAATTCAATAAGCAGGCTAATGTGAAATTAAAAAAAAAGAAAACAAAAAAAATAATATAGTTTAAAGTGTTTGTTAAATCAAACAGCACTGACTGCTTCATTATGCTCTTCTGGGGTTTTTGAATTTCTTAGTCCACGAGAATGGTGGGCTTCTGCTGTATGGGAAGTTTTTGAAGAAGAGCGAGATCTTACTGCTTTAAAATAAAATATATAAAAGATAATCCTAGATATTATAATCCAGTTCATTAAGTTGGGAAAGAATACCCCCCCCCCCTTATAAAATAAATTTTTATTTATTGGCCCAAACTCTCCAAATGTCATAAAATACTAAGGAAATTCACAAATATATTCTCTACCTTCTCTTTCCACCTGTAATTTAAGTTGTCGACTAATTTCCCTCAACCTAGCAGCACTTGGACCACTAAGAGATTGTTCCCTTCGATCAACGCCAGATTGGAAAGCTCGAATTACTCGAATCTAAAATAAATAAAAAATAAAAAAATTTAATTTTTAAATATTTTTTTTGAAAATTTTTAGAACAGACAACAAAACAGACAAAAGAAAAAAGAAAGAAAATAAATTGATTGGAAAATTTAGAAAAAAAGATTTTTTAGTTTTTGTTAAAAAACACAAAAAAGAAAACCAAAAACAGCACCACAACTAATCAAGCAGTTAATTACAATAACTCTAAGTAGTCTAATAAATAATTAAATATACTATTGTTTTTTTGAAAAGCAATAAATGCCCATAAACACATCAAAGAAAAATAGAAAGAGAATTTAAAACTTTAAAGGCACTATTGTATTTGTTCCTTATTTTCCCTTATTTTACCATTAATAAATCTATGTTCAATTAAATGAGATATTTGTAAAACAGCTGATATTTTTGATTATTAAAGATATTTTACGGGTTCTTCCGAAAAATCGTCATGTGACAAATAGAAAAAGCATTGTTTTGTCTCAGTATGTTAATTTAACATTCTTCTGAATTATTTCGTTTTTCTATTTTAAAAAATTCAGTTTGTTATTAAAAAATCAAAATTTTGACAAGTATTTCCTGTTAAAAATTCTGAGCCATTTTTGCACTTAAAAACAAAAATAAGAACCTATGTTACAATTTTTACACTCTAAAATGTCATACTAATCAGACCTATATTTTATAATATCTTATTTGATTGATTATGTATTTATGAGGCCTCTAAAGTTCAAAATTCTCTTTAAATAAAAGAAAAATATAATTTTTAATTAAAAATCCCTCCCAATTTAAAAATTAAAAAGAATTTTTTAAAAGAAAGAGAGCATTTCTTATATATTCTTACTGCTTGATCAGTGGGTGCTGAACTACGCGGGATTGGTATCAATCCAGGCGGAGTGGAGATTCGTTCGCCAACAATTGCCTGAAATTGTTTGTTTTGCAAAAATAAACTAAAAAGGAGGGGTAAATTTAAATAAAAAAGAAATAAAAAATTTTTTTGAAAAATATTTAAATTCATACAAGATGGTTTAATCACGTCTCATTAATTTTTTAAGGAAAATTTGTGTTATTTTAACAGTTCCCAGTGAATAAACTTAGTTTTTAAGAGTCAAGCTTATTCATAATACTTTTCGGATATGCCGCCCCCTCCCTTGTTTGAGCCATCGCAGTTCCTTCTTCATGCTAAACATTTATTTCTTCACTCATTTGTCAGTACAAGTAAAAAGTTCCAAGAAAATAAATTATTGACCAAATATATACAGTCATCGACATAAAGATAGGGGCAAGTGTAAATGAAATGAAAATTAACTATTTTTCAGTCAAAAAATACGTTCTATATAGCGATCGAAAGCTCTATTCGTATCTCAGTTGACATGTTTCTGCGTTTTTCATGAAAATGAAAATTGACTGAGATAATCCGGATCTACCGGATATACTAAATCCTATATCCTCGGAAAAATTTTTCGGAAAAAATTTAACAAACCCATTTGATAAAGCATATTTTTCTGAGTATTTTCCACAAAACCGCTTAGAGATATCTTTTTCCGGAGCAGAGATATGATTTTTTGAAAATGGCATTTTTCGTCTATTTTTGCAATAAATTCAATTTTTAAGGGAAAAATGCGATTTTCAAAAAATCATATCTCTGCTCCGGAAAAAGATATTTCTAAGCGGTTTTGTGGAAAATACTCAGAAAAATATGCTTTATCAAATGGGTTTGTTAAATTTTTTCCGAAAAATTTTTCCGAGGATATAGGATTTAGTATATCCGGTAGATCCGGATTATCTCAGTCAATTTTCATTTTCATGAAAAACGCACCAACATGTCAACTGAGATACGAATAGAGCTTTCGATTGCTATATAGAACGTATTTTTTGACTGAAAAATAGTTAATTTTCATTTTATTTTCACTTGCCCCTATCTTTATGTCGATGACTGTAAATTGCTTGACCAAACATAACCAAAAATAAAGAAGGAAATAATAACTGATACTCAAACTGGTTGGGGGGGGGCATATCCAAAAAGTAACCAATTTTCAGTCCCAGAGGTATATCTTATATTAAGGCCAGAATTTTAAAAATTAATAGAGGTTCTTTAAACCTTTTTAAATATCTCCAACTTCTAAAAAATAAAAATTGGAAGAGAATTAAAAAATAAAGGATATGAATGGAAGGAAAAAATATTTTTAATTGAGGGAAAACATTTTAATAAATTTTTAAAACCAAAGCAGCACTGCAAAATAAAAAAAAAATATTAATTTTTTCTAAATTTATTTATGTAAACAAACATTACAAATTAAATATTTTTAAGTGCGGTTTAAGTTGCTGAAAATTAAGAAAATGTTGAGAAAAAAAAGAAATAACATATTTCTAACTCAATTATATTTTGAGAGGTATTGCAAACCTAATTCTTGTTAAATTAAATGGAAATGTTTTTATAAATATTTATTTTTCAGTATTTTTCAAAAGAAAGTTGCTCATTTTTAAAACAAAATAATATTTATAAACTCACAAAGAGTGAAGAAGAAATTTTATTATTTCCTATATCCGGGCCAAAAAAAGCTAAAAAATGGGACAAGAAAAGTTTGCCAACTCGCCATCTTCCCTTACCAGGTATCGGGAAGATGGGGAGTTGCAAAAGGAAAATTTACTGCGAAAGGGAAATTTAAAAAATCAAAAAATGAGCAATTTATAAAAATCCAAAAATACAATTTTAAAAATTCGGTAATTTTATAAAAAAACTCAAAAATGTTTTGAATAATAAAGACCCGAATGGCAATAAGGACAAAAAAAACTTTAAAGTAAAAAAAACAATTATAATAAAATTCACTGGTAAAACTGGGTATTTTATACAAAATTTTGAAGTGAATTTGTGTAAAAACAAAAAATAATAATTGGACAAAAAACAGGCAGTTAGTTGGCCTTAAAATTAATATAGTAGAATAAAAAGTAACGAGTAACAGGGATGTAAATTCAAATTAAAGAGAAAATTAAAGAACCCTCCAAAAGAATCCTTAAAAATCCTCATGTTTTTTTCTAATTATTAACCCTTTTTTAATTCGTTTTTAATTAAACAATTATAATTTCAAAATCAAACATCCCTGTTTTATAACATTAAAAATACTTTAAAGGTGTCACGTTTAACAAAAAAAACTAAAAAGAAGATTATTTGTATTGCAAAATTAACAGAGTTACAAATGAGCACTGGTCATTGGTGAATCGATGCTATAAGCTTTAGAAACTAAAGGTAATTGCTGTTTCTGAATTGCATTGTTATTATTAATTGTTGTTGCCTTTCCTGTTTGTATTCCTTTATTATTTAAATTATATTTAGTAACTAAAGGTATTCTTTCATTTAATTCTCCATCTTCATTATTTGTGTTTACTCTACTACCACATTTAAAAGAAGATAAACAAGCAGAATTTGATCTATCAGAATGTTTTCTAGTAAAAAATTGTCGTCCATTTTCAACTACAACATTTTGTGGTGAAGGAGATGAAACAGAAACAGGCGTTGTCGATGTAGGAATTGGTGAATATTGAGGAGGGGGAGAAGAAGAAAGTAGTCTACTTCCCTCATCTGACTGAAGATTGTCATTATTATGGCTCCCAATATTACCAATTCCAATATTAAATTTTCCTTGTCGAGAATGAAAAAATGGGTATTGTTGTGAAGAAAAGGAACAACCCGAGTTTCGTTTATGATGAGAACGATAACCTCTCATAGAATGAGTAGAATGAGCGCTGCTAATTGAATTATTGTGTTCGTCAAATTCGTCAATTGAAGAGCGAAATGCCTTGACAACTCGCAACTTTAAAAAGAGAAATGTGTGAGAAAAAAATAAAAGCGCGGCTAGAAATTAAATTAATTTTATTTTAAATCTATGCGTGTGGCCGTTTTAATTTTAATTTTCAAGTTATTAGTTTGGAAATAAAGGAAACAAAGCGCTCTTTCCAGAACAGTTTCTGATAGGCTATGTGTGAAAGAAAAAAATAGAAAATAGTATAAAAGCTAAAAGCACAGTAAAAAAAGCATTACATCAAATATTTAGTTAAAGCAAAAAAGTGAAAAGAAAATAATATTAATTTGAAAATTAAAAAAGCTAAATTAAAATTAGAATCGAGAGTCTATTGCTGCCACATTCAATTGTTGATAATTTTGAATTCATTTTCCAGAATAATTTTTTTCAAAAAAAAAATCAAAATAAGATGTAATGTTCATGTAACCGACTGTTTAAAAAACTTTTTGATGAAGCATTTTAAAATTTCATAATCAAAATAAAAAACAAAAGTTGGCAGAATCTTCTTCTGTTAATTATTAAAATCATTTAAATGAAGAACAAAGGAAAAAAATTAAAGCAGAAACTAAGGAGGGATATATTAATATTAAAATTTAATAAATTTTGTTTAAAAAACTAAAACGACCAACACACAAATTATAAAACTAATTTCAAAAAATATTTCCAGCGGCGCTTTTATTGGATAAAATACGCGGCATTTGGGAAACAAATACTTATGTATTGAGGTAGAAAAATGAAATTGTGCAATTTTAAATGTTATTAAGCAGATAATTTTTTTCTTGAAATAAAGAAAAGAATTTAAAGATAAAGAATAAATTTAAATTTTTTTATTTTTTCCATAATAAAATCAGTCAACTCTTTCTCACACTTATTTTAACAAAATTTAGGGACAGACAAGGGTTGAAGTAATGGAGTAAATGGAAGATAATTAAAATTAAACTAAATATAATTAAAAGCAAGAAAAAGTAACTACACTGTGTTACAAAAGTATACGCGCACCTAAATTTTTCAATTTTTCTGCATTGATACTTATGTCAATATCTTCTAAATTTTTTATAATATATAGATTAGCTAAACAAGAAGATCCATGGACAATTTCCCCAAAAAATTCAATAATTTATTGTTATTTTTAATTTTTTCCCAAAATAGGGCGTTTCATAAGTATACGCGCACTTATATAACTAAAGATTTTAGACATTAGGGATGGTTCGAAAAATCCACAAAAATTTCAGTAAACATATCATGTGATACTGAAACAAAATACAAAGAAAATAAAGTTCAAGTCAAGTCCCATCATCGAGATTTAAAAACCCGAAAATCAACGGAAAACCGAGGTAAATGTCTTTAAAAAATATTTTCGACCCCTTATAGGTCAGTTAAAAATAAAGTTTTGGGCTTATTTGAAAGCCCTTGAAATTTGCTACAAGATAGCATGAATCTTATTTTCCGAAAAAATTCAATTTAAGACATAACATGTGATAAACTTTCAAGTCACCAAAATCACTCAAACGCCCCACAAAAAGTGATGAAAATGTAGCTTATAAACTTAACTCATTATTTCTCAAAGAAAAAATTTTTCTAGAATATGAGATGAAAAATATCCTGTAGCAAATTTCAAGGGCTTTCAAATAAGCCCAAAACTTTATTTTTAACTGACCTATAAGGGGTCGAAAATATTTTTTAAATACATTTACCTCGGTTTTCCGTTGATTTTCGGGTTTTTAAATCTCGATGATGGGACTTGACTGGAACTTTATTTTCTTTGTATTTTGTTTCAGTATCACATGATATGTTTACTGAAATTTTTGTGGATTTTTCGAACCATCCCTAATGTCTAAAATCTTTAGTTATATAAGTGCGCGTATACTTATGAAACGCCCTATTTTGGGAAAAAATTAAAAATAACAATAAATTATTGAATTTTTTGGGGAAATTGTCCATGGATCTTCTTGTTTAGCTAATCTATATATTATAAAAAAATTTAGAAGATATTGACATAAGTATCAATGCAGAAAAATAGAAAAATTTAGGTGCGCGTATACTTTTGTAACGCAGTGTAGGTAAAGGAAATTGGGTTTTTGACCAAAGGGGTATCCAGGGATAAAAAAGCTTATTTGGCCTCTAAAAATAAATGGCTGAACCGTTAATTTTTTCTTAACAAAAAAAAACTAATTCTATCCAGCTCGTCAAAAGACTTCTGGATATAACCAAGGAAATTACATGGAAAAAATTGAACAAAAAGTGGAAGAGCCGACTGTACTGCATGGCTATGGATAGCTAATTTTTGAATAATACTATAAAACGAATATACAATAATCAACTAAACAGATAACTTAATTTTATTTTTATGTATCAGACATGAATAAAAAGAACAGATTATAGGATAAATATAATAATTGGAGAAAAAAAACATTGAGCAAAAGCCAATATATTTGATATAGGGAGAGAATATGTATAAACAAAAATACAATTAAAAAAGGCAAGGAATGTACCGGAAAAAGCGCAATGCTTTTCTTATTTCAAAGAAATTACACACATATGTATTATTATTTAGTATTACCGCCGCTACGTCTAGATTTAATATTTTTTGATTTATTACTTGTCTTCTTATTTAAAAGGCAAATATCAGTGACCTGAGTTTGAAGTCGAGTGAGACCACGAATCCACAGAATTTGTCCAGAACGTTTCTCATGGGGCTCTCCATCATCATCACCAGTTAATATGTTGGCAGTTTCAGGTTCAACTTCTCCACCACCAATTGCTAAACCTTTTGGCAATCCTTTTGCTGGTATTGTGGCAACTACCTAAAGAAAAAAATATGTAAGGCAGGTTAAAAGGAGAAATTATGAAAATTTTGGACACACTATCGCTAACTCATTTCATGTTAATTAACTGCAGAATAAATCTTAAACTAAATCATAAAAATTTAAGACCTGAGCCCAAAGAAGAGAACCAACTCCAAATACAATACACCAAAGCCACTGCTCTACAGTTAATGGGTCAGTGTATAATGCATGACCACCAAATTCAATTATAAGAATCTGGACCAAAAATGTACTTATCCAAATAGCACAATAGATTGGATTGGTAGTTAAACCCTTAAAATAGTTTTAAAGAATTTATTTTGAAAATAAGAGGCACAACAACCTTAAAAACATTTCTTTCTCCATGAATTTTACGGGCATTAACTTCATTGAATAAAGTCATCATAACAAAAGTATTGAAGACAATAGTAAAATGTTGTCCAGGCGGAGCACGGAGTTGAGCTTTCAAATCACTTTCAATGCCAAACAATTTATGACCAGCAAATATTAAAGTAAATAGCACAGTTAATTGATAAATTGCATGGCCAATAATATTTTTCATCATTGTTCGTGAAATTAATGGGCTAAAAGACAAATTAATAAAGATAAAGTACAAAACGTTTAAAAAAATAAAAAAATCATTTAATCTAATATACCTTGTTCTACCATAAGGCTTCCTCTTTAACAGATCCTCAGTAGGTGGTTCAGTTGCAAGTGCAAGCGAAGCCAAAGTATCCATAATCAGATTAACCCAAAGCATTTGAACAGCCTAGATAATATACAATATGTAATAAAATTTAATTTAAAAAACCTTTATTGGTGTATCCTGAATAGCTAAAGCACCAACTAATGCAATAACAATAGCAACAACATTAACAGTTAATTGAAATTGAAGAAATTTGGCAATAGAATCATAAATATTTCTGCCCCACATTACAGCTTTAACAATAGAAGTGAAATTGTCGTCAGTTAATATAATATCTGAAGCTTCTTTAGCCACATCAGTTCCAGCAATCCCCTATAGAATTTTCAAATTAATAAAAAATAGCAATATTTTTAATCCAAATTAATATGTAATAAGTAGAACAAACCATCGCAAAACCAACATCTGCCTTCTTCAATGCAGGGCCATCATTCGTTCTAAATTTTAATTTTATGATAAAATATTTAAAAGTTGAAATTCAATGTACTAACAAAAAAAAAATAAAAAAAATTTACCCATCTCCTGTCACTGCAACAACTTCCCGATTTGCACTTAATTTGCTATCGATGATTCCTTTGACCAAAATATATTTATCCGTCGGTTGAGCACGGGCTAGAACACGCAGTTTTGGCCAAACTAAATCAAGCTTTTCTTGCACAACTTCTCCCTCTTCGTTTCGAATTCTTTCATTAAAGTCCTTTCCCTCAAGTGCAATAAAATCCTCGCCCGGTTTCAAAATACCGCAAGAGGTTGCAATCGAACGAGCTGTATTTATGTTGTCTCCAGTAACCATACGTACAACAATTCCTGCTCGTTGACATTTGGCAATTGCCTCAGGGACTTCTAAAAACATAAAAGAAAAATAATAACATAATAAACTAAATGAAACCTGGACGAACGGGATCTTGAATGCCGATAATTGCAATTACAGTGAGATCATTTATAATAGCATTTTCATCATCCCATTCAATTTCACCGTCATAAATGACTTCATTTCCTGCAGCTTGCTCATCTTTCTTCAAAATATAGTCCTTATAGGCCAAACAAATAGTTCTCAATCCATCAGAGGCCATTGGTTCAATAACATCACGCATCAATCGATCGTAGTTATGTTCAGAGAAGGGAGCCAACCCATTTTGTCCAAAAATCCATTTGCACTTTCGAAGAGTTATTTCTGATGCACCTTTACTGAATACTCTATAACCAAAAGTTGTTCCAAATCCATCTTTAAGTTCAATAACTGTTGACATTGATTTACGAACAGAATTAAAGGTGTAAACCTAAAATAGAGTAAAATATAGAAATTTTAAATTATTTAAAATTGTATATGTGAATTAAGTTAAAATTAAAAAAACCTTAAAAATTAGTTCCTCAGGATATGCATCTCTAATTGTCTGATAACTCTGACCAAGTGAGAGAACAAAGCCAAGAAGTCCACATTCAGTTTTATTACCAAGCTGTTGCATATTTTCTCCAACCTTTTTCGGGGGCAAAACTTGAGACGAATAACTTGAATTTATTGAAATGCAATGGATAAGCAAATCTCTCGTTTTTTCGTTAAGTTTTTCCCATTTTGGAGTATCTTTGTAAAGAACTTCTGAAATAAATAAAATTAAGTTAGAAAAAATAAAATGGCACTAAGGATTTTGTCTTAAAGGTGAAATAATAAACAGACCTAGACGGGGCTCAAACCTTACTACTAAAGAGAATAAACTAACCATTAATGAAACTCTGAACAGCAGTCATTCGATTGGTTGTTAATGTACCAGTTTTATCAGAACAAATAGTTGTAGCACTTCCCATTGTTTCACAAGCATCCAAATGTCTAACCAAATTATTATCTTTCATCATCTTCTTAACTGAATAAGCCAAAGAAAGTGTAACAGCCAGAGGAAGTCCTTCAGGAACAGCTACTACAAGTACTGTTACTCCAATAATTAAAAATTTGATGAAATAGTTCAAATTGGTGATGGAGAAAGGCTTATGAGCCACAAAATAATTTTCAATACAAAATCGAACGACCAAAATGAGCATAGTGCAAACAGCGACAAAAGATCCAGCATAACCAATTTGAATAGCTAAGCGAGTCAATTTTGCTTGTAAGACAGAACGTTCCTTTTTTGTTGTCGCTATGTCAATTTCATTTTTTCCAGCCGTTGCTGCTCCTGAAGCAACTGCGCCATTATAGCCATCAAGTTTGATGTCTAAAAAAATTGAAAATTAAAAATATATAAAATATAGAAAATGCGAATGTGAGACAAAAAAATACAGACTGACCAACAAAAAAGATAAAAATATTAAAGGAACATACTTTCTTCATTCTCCAAAAGTGCCTGTTTAGTTCCATCATCTATTGTAATTTCTGGAGGTTGTCGACCAATATCTCCATCTATTGGCAACGTAGAATTCGGAAGTTTCTCTCCTTAAAAAGTGCAAATGATTTAAAAAAAAATCCAAAAAATATTTTCCATTACAATTCCACCAACTTGTACAAGAGGAAAAAATTAAAAATGTGCACTACTAACAATCACAAGACAATAAAAATTGGAATAAAGTCAAAATGGTAATGGCAAGATTTTGAATTTATCAAAATACACTTTATCCTTATTATGTATAATTTTTTATTTCTTCTACTAATGCAAGGCAAAAGCCCATCGGACCCGAACACGGAAGTACTAGAAGTTGAATGTCGGTAAAGGATACAAGAATGAGAAATCATTCATTACCATTTTGTAGGGTCAGAAAAACATTTAGAGAAAGAAAAAAGACAAAATTATATATTTTTTCCTTACCATCCAAAGAATTGCCAGTGTAAGGAATTGAACGACGAATCCGAACTGTAACTTTTTAATTATAATAAAAGTTCGAAAAAGTAGTTATTTTTAAAAAGATAGAAAAGATTAAGATACTAAAAAGACAAATTAAATAACTTTAATGTACGAGTAAGGGAAAAATAGAAAAGATAAATTGGTGGAATAAAATGGAAAATTTTTTCGATCCCCAAAAATGAAATCAAACCTGATGTTTTACTCCTCCTTCTTGTCTTTTTCTCTTCTTTTTGTTTTTCCTTTCGTTCATCTTCTAAAGCATTCTTAGCTGCACCAAGGAGAGTCATTATAATACCACTAAAATATATAAGTAAAAGTTAAAAAAATGAAATATACGTTTGAGAATTAACACCAACAGCAGTGATAACCATTCGACCACTGCCTTCCATAACTAAATTAGAAAAAGTAGGTTTTTTTAAATGTTTTTAGTATTTGTATTAGCGAATATGGATCCGAATGCTAGAAAAATTATCGTTCAATGACTTGGTTATTTTATTAACTATACTGGGTTAAATTTGAAATTAACAATTTATAAAGAAAAACACACAAAAATATACATCCACAATCAGATAAAAATTAAAAATTTAAAACAAAAAACGGACCGTGTGTACCAGACAAAAGCATAGGGTCATGCTCAACGGACTTCTTTATATGATCAGATTCCCCAGTAAGAGAAGACTCGTCGATTTTAAGATCGTTGCTTTGAATAAGAATTCCATCAGTTGGGAGAAGATCACCTAAAATTAATTCACAAAAGTAAACGAAATAAAAAACCATATTTAATCTGAGCAATATCACCAACAACAAGTTCATTAACAATTACATGGAGTTGTTGCCCTTCACGAATAACAGCAAATTTGTGTTCTGTTTCAATCTTTTTTTGAAGACCTAAAATAATTTAAAAAACAGAATTATTAATCAAGAATAAAAAAAACCTCTGAACTGTCTTTCCTTTGTATAATCATTCATTGCTGTAACAAAAACAACTGCAATAACTGATACGAGAATGGCTGCACCTGTAAAGAAATAAATCAAAAAAATAAGAGAAGAAAAAAATCAAACCTTCAATCCAACCCGCTTCTTGTTCAGAGTCATCACTTGCTAAATAATTAAATAAATAAACATTTTAAAATTTAAGTAACTTACAGCCACCCTCTTCTTCTTGTGGACGGTAAAAAGTAAGAGCAAGTGAAACAGCAGCGGCAATGAGCAGGATAATTAATGTGACATCCTAAAAAGAGCATTTTTAATCAATGAGGAGCATAACACCGTCAAAACATTCGAGTTAAAGATAAAAATTCGATTTAAAATATAACATTAATTATGTAAGCAATGTTTGGCAAGACGGTGTTTTGTGATGAAACGGATGAAAAAAAAGTAAAACAAACTTGAATAGCTTCATAGACCAACATAAAAATTGATTTAGGAGGGTGAGGAGGAATTTCATTTTTGCCAAATACTTGTCGTCGCCTTTAAAAGTAAATTTTTAGCAATTTAAATGAGAAATTAAAAGAATAATTCAACAGACCTGTGAAGTTCATCTGCATTATTAGAAATGCCATTATTAGGATCTGTTTGAAGTCGTTGACAAAATCCATCTGTGCCACCATAATCTGTATTAATCTTCTCCCTCGCCTCATCTCCACGAAATTCCATCAAAGTTCTGAGATCTTCCAATGTAACATCGAACGGCGGAAACGAACCACCAGTAGAGGCACGACCTCTATGTGGAGTCATTGATTTGTAAACTAAAATAGATTAAATTAATACCGAAATTTATTTCAGAATAAATACGATATTAGAATAAATGGAATAATGAAAGTAGAGGATAAGATACTTAAAAGGAGAATAAAAAAATGAGATTCGATGAATTTGTTGAAGAAAGAAAATATATTCGGATTAGTTGAAAATCCAAAAAGTTATGGCCCAAAATATGGCTCCGGGACTCGACCGGCGGGACTCGATGATCCCTTCCCAGAATTTGCAACACGGACACTTTGCCGCCACTAAATAGGTATTAAAATTACACTACTATACCGTAAATCTTCTAATAAAAGCACAGTGCTTCTATTTTTCGATCCCCTTGTAGGGTGTGCTTATATTGGAGACTGTGCTTCAATTTGAGACTGTGCTTGTATTTTTCGATCTATTTTTCAATTTTTCGAAGAAAATTTTTACCCAACATAAAAAACAAAAATTAAATTTCAATTGAATTTATAAAGTTCCATTTAATTTTTCAACCAACCAGCTTTATAAATTTTTTTCCTTCAAAAATTTTCACCTTCCGAGCTGAAGAAACAAGCACTGATCTCATGTAGCCGGACCCTTTTATCCACTAAAATCTTCTTATATCCTTTGATACTTCTCTAAATCCAACCAACTATATCCCTCTTGATGTCCCTCAACAACCCTTATTGTAGGTCTTGAGTGAATGTTTTTCTCAAGTTTCCGAAATTTTGAGGTATAGGGCAGGGAATGGTCGCTGACCCAGTGGGCGTAGGTCGCAGACCCAGTGGGCAGACCCAGTGGGCGGATATGGATCTAAAAAAATCCGGATATTCCGGATTTTAATACGGGAAATCCGAACCGGACTAAGAAATTTTGAATCATTTTTCAAACGTCAAAACCTAATATAAAGCAAAAATGATACCTATGTGCTTTTTCAGCGGTATAATAGGGGTGTGCTTATATTAGAGGGTGTGCTTCAATTAGAGGCTGTGCTTCTATTTTTCGATTCTCTCATAGGGTGTGCTTATATTAGAGGGTGTGCTTCAAATAGAGGTGTGCTTCTATTAGAAGATTTACGGTATTTCAAATACCAAAATCATTCACATTTATAAAAGGATCAAATTTTAATACATATTTTGTCTGATCCCTTTCTGAATCATAATATGAAATATTTAAGAGAAAGAGAAAATATATTTAAGTACCTATTTTCAATTTTATTAATGTTCATGCGCGAGTCAATTTTTTTAATAAATATATAAGTAGGATCACAAACCCGTGCGAACAGCTGGAGTATTACAAAAACATTTTTATGAAAATTTACTTCGTTTAAAATAATCCTATCTTACTGATTTTGGTATCAATCGACTCGGCGAGTTTTACTAAATATCCTGTATTTATGTATTTTACTGCATTTTTTTAAATTCTGCCTAAGAAATTTAGTAGAACTGCCGTATCTCGGTTTATTGACGAGATAGCGGACTTGTTTTTGACATCATTCGAATGAGTTTGAAGACTGATTCGAATAGTGTTAAACTTGTTTATACTAAAACCTTAGCCTTAAATATAAGCCTAATTTTATCAAAATATTGCCTAAAGAGCGAAAATTAATCGGATTAAATTATAAATAGACAGAAGTTATTTTGAATCAAAAAGTTGGCTAAAGTGTTGTGAATTGTATAAAAAAAGAATTATCAATTTTTGTTGAAATATTAAAAACAAATCGCGCGCCTAATTTTCCTCGCCCCTTATTATTTAGATGTAAAAAAGATAAAAAAAAATTGAAGAAAATAGTAAGAGTAAAAAAAAGATTGATAGCAAACGAATTTTATTTTTACAACATACCAGAGGCACAAAAACGTTATCTTTTTCCAAATTCTAATTTAAAATGATGATAAGGCAATTTTGGTTTAAAAAGACAAAATGACTAATGAAATAATATTTAAAAGAAATTAAATTGAAATCATTCAGTTGTTGTTGTTTATATTTTTAAGTCTAAAATTGATGTTAAAAAATTAAGATTTTTTGTGATATTTTTTATATGTTAATGCTGGAAACAGTCACAAAAAGGGATAATCATATTTAAAATTAGAAGAATAAGTTTGGGGATATTTATATAGTATTTGTTGGGAGTATCTTATAGTGTGCCCCAATAACGTTTGCTCCTTATCAAGCAGAGGTGGGTTGGAATTCCAATTTCCTACGTTTTTTTCCTTCCGATTCCCGAAAAAATTTTGATTTCCGATTTCCGAGTTCCGACTTTTGAGCCAGTTCCGATTTCCGGCTCTTCCGATTTCCGACACCTCTGACTGTTCACCCACCTCTGCTATCAAGCAAATGATTATCTCGTTGTTAATATTTTAGCGGAAAAAGGATAAAAATCAAATAAAAGCAAGAAATCTCTCTCAGATTTTACAAATTAATCAATTTCTAACCGTTAAAGTATTTTTGTCTGTTTTTAAAGTTTAAAAAGAAGGAAACATAAAAAATTTATTTTTATTTTTTAACTGCGTCAGCTGCTACTAAAAATAAAAAATACTTTAATAGTATACATTTTGATCGGTCATTGACTTGAGAGTGTTTTCTGGACAACTTTTAATAAATAGATACGGGTTGGGGTCTTTTTGGCGTTGCCTTAATGCGCGGATAAAAGAAAATTGGAAATCCAGAATTGAAAATCAGAATAAAAATCAGAATTGAGAAAAAACATCTCGCGAGCTTACGCTCGCCGGTCACGCCTTTATGAGCCGCATCAAAACGTTCAATAGATGTTAGTAGAAACAGATGATAAACAGATGTACTACTTTGTTCTGAAAAATTGGGACAATTTATAGATTAAAAAGTGAAGAGAAAACAAATTGTGGTAGTAAATGTGGAGGAGATTTGAAAGTTGTTTCGAGAGAATAAAATTTTTTAATTGAGAAAAACCTAAAGTAATTCAAGTGCCACCAATAAGACTGGATATATAAATGTTCATTCTTAATATGTATCAATAAGGAGTTTTGTCCGATGTGTTAATAAAAGGTATCCTATAAAAATTTAATGAAATTAAAGGAAAAATCTCTAAACAATTTAAAGGAGATTTGCAAAAATAAGGTTTATCTACAAGACAGAAACAAGTATGTACATATTTTTCTTAAATTTTTTTTTATTTTTTTTTAATTTTCCACATTTTTTCCATCTTTCAATTGCGGCATTTATTTTGAAAGGTTTGAAAAAAATTGGAAATCGACTACTACTACTACATACAAGTATTTTCAACGAATCATAAAAATACTAATAGTGGGCCATTATGAAAAGAGAGGAGAAAGCTAAATAAAAGAGAAGAATGAAAAGAAAAATAAAAAGAAAAATAAAGGCGGACTGGCTCTAAAATGCTTTTTTATACAACTAGAGCAGCCTAGTGGCAATAATATGTACATGAATATAACTACTAAAAAGGCTACAAAAAATATTTATATAAAAACCCTTTCTTTCTCTTTTTTGCTTCTGAATTCCCTTAGAAATTAACATATGTATTTTTATATGTCGCAATGCTGAAGCTGACAATGAAAAGCGCGGTTTTTGCATGCCAAGAATTGTATGGCAATGCCCAAATGGTTATCAAACAACTTTTACTTTTTTGTGTTCAAAGAGAAGATTGAGAAAGATAAAAGTCCTATAAAGAGAGAATAAGGCGCCTCAAAATGGTATTTGGACAAAATAATACTGGGGACAAAATTGCTAGTCTAGTACCATTTTGTTTTAACCAAGTGTGTCAAACAGAGAAAAACGTAAAAAGAAAATGTAAGTCAAGGAAAAAATAAAAAAAGAATAACAAAACAAAACATAACTCTAACAATGTTTTGTATCTAAAACAACAATAGTGCATTAAAAAGGTGGGCCAAAATGGAAAGAGAGAGGGAAGGAGTGTTTGACGTCAGCGATTGAGACTGACTAAATGAAAGAATTAAAATGGATATGTAATACTGTCTTTGTCTTTAGATTAAAGCCGTTTTTTCTTGATATAAAAATTAGACAAATATCACAACCCCATGGAAATTTTGGGGAATAATTTTTATTTTTTTTTGGCTACTAATCGTGCAACTTTTGTTTGCCCCAGTGGAAGTGCGGGTGTCAATAAAAGTGTTTGCTTATTCCAATTCAGGTTTAGTTTTGTCCGCAAATGTCAGTCAGCCCAAAACTAAAGTCATTGTTCCACACAGCTACAAAAATAGTTACAACAAAAACCGGAAGTAGCAAAATTATCTCCATATGTAATGAAGCTTGATATAATTTTTGGTATGAGATTTTTAACATTAATTCCCAAATAAAGAGAATTCTCACATTTTAGGCAATTTAAAAGAATTCTAATTTTTATTTTCAGTTATTTAGAAAATGTGAAAAATTAAAAAGAAAAAAATAAGGAAACCTTTAAATAGAAAATAATTAACAAAAAATACAATATTTTTTAATAAAAAAATAGAAGCTAATTGTTGCTTTTATGTAATTTACTGGAAGTAAATCTACATGGGGCCAACTTGAGGCCAAACATTATTTTATCTATTAGATAGGGCAATTAACTGGGCCAGGGCAATTAATAAAGTAAATACAGAATTTGCTAGAAATATTTTAAGAACATGCCCAAAAGGAGTAAAAATCTTAATTTGCTTAATACCCCCAAAAGTATCAATCATAACTTGTTCAAAAATCTCAAAACCTCGACAATTCTTATACGAATCGAATTAGCTCGTCGAGCTGTATCGAATGAGATATTATGCCTTTATCACACCAAGACAGGTTTAAAGTCAGGGACTTTTAAACTTTTTTAGCTAACATTCATGAAAAACTGCAAGTACAAGAATAATACAAAAAAGTTCAAAATAACGGTCCAATCCTTTTTTTGAACATTCTACTTTGTGCCGAAATTGCAGAAAAAAGTTATTTGACTAAAAATCCGGACTTTATACTAATCAGAATCTAATTGTTTAAATTTCAAAAAAACATTTTAATTAAATCTCTTTTAAAAAATTTTTTTAAAGGTTTCCATATGTACTTTATTTTGCTAATAATATGCTTGCTATTAAAAAAAGAGCAAGCAGTAAATAAAAAGAAGCCTTGGAAAAAGAGAATTGGACGAATTAAAAAAAACAAAATCGATGAAAACCAGAAATGGGTCAGAGCTATTTGGACGAGAAAAAGCCTAAAAATGCACAAAATCTTCTTTTTGGAGACTTTCAAAAAAGAGAGTGAGGAGGGAGGAGGGGAGGGGAGGGAGGGGGAGGAGGGTATGGGAAATAAAAGTAGAAAATGAAAAATGGACAGAAAAATGGCAAAAAATGGAGGAGGAATGGGGGGAGGTTTTTTAGTAGAAAAAAAAAGAATAAATGGAAAAATAGTAAAAATATTACTAAAAGGGAAGAGGAAAAAATATTATTAAAGTTGTAAAAAACGAAGGGGGAAATAAATAAAAATATTTAAAGTACCTAAAATTTATTGGCTAAAAGGTAAAAAATTGTATTGAATTAAAGTTTTTTTGAGTTTATTTTTGGGGCTTTTGGGCCGACTTTTAAATAAAAATATTTCTGGGTAAATAATTAAATTAAAATTAGGTAAAATCGAATTTCGATGGGATCTACCCTCGGAGACTGAATTGAGGTTATCATGGAGAAGGAACAGTTGTCTATATATTTTAGAATTAGATAGATTTTAAGTTCCTATTTCATTTTTTATTTTTTTAAATTTTACTTCTTTTTTAAAAAATATCTTTTTATTTTTTTTGGTTATTTTTAAAAATACTATAAGGATTTACCAGATGTGGGAAATTTTCCTGCTGCGAGTCAAAAATGAAATAAACAAAAAACTTTTTGAACACTTTTTAAACAAATATTTTAAAAAATTATTTAAAAAATATTTTCATTATAAAATTAAATTATTGTCGAAAGGAGTGGAACAGTTTTTTGGGTGAGCCTTAAAATAATTGAAATATTTAGTTTTAATTTTTTTAATTAAATATCCAATGAATTTTGATAGTATTTCTAAAGAATTATTTAATTTTAGGAAAATTTGATTTTTTAAACAATCAAAGCCTTAATTAAAATATTTTAAACAAAAAGACCTACTAATAGTCAAATGTTTTCAATACCCCCTCCCCCCAATTAATTATTTCCAATTAATTAAAAAAAATTTTTAAATTTTATTTGTTTTAAAATAAATAAACATTTTATCCCACACTTATTTTTATAAAAAAATTTATTTTTTTGCATGAACAGAAGACGTAAAATTTGAAATTCGAGAAGTAATTGAATGCGAGGGTGGGAAAATAAAATTTAAAAAAAAAGAGAGAATATGGGCCAGAAAAAATTTAAAGAAATTTTTTAAAAATTTATTTTTATCTAAAAAAATTATAAATAAAATACCTGATTATTTTATTTTCTTATTTTATTTTTCTTATCATTTAAAATAGATTTTATCGAAAAAGAATGACGCAAATATTCTTTTATTTTTATTTAATAAATTGTTAGAAAAGTAATTTAAATTTATTTTTATTAAATAAAATTTAATAGAAAAATTAAATTAATTTAAATATAAATTAAATGGTTTTTGGTGATTTTGTGAAATTTAAAGGGGGGTGTTCGAGATTGCAAATCTAGATTTATTAATGAAAATGAAAGCCTAGATCTTTACCTGATGTTACTTAAATATTTTCAATTTCAAAACAAAATTGTCTGTCGAGCAGAAGCTAAATTGTCTGTCAAAGTCGGGATTTGTCAAAGTCGACCACAGAAATATCAGGCAAAATTAGAAAGACAATTTAGGCGAAAGTGGATTAGGCTGGATCAGATAGATAGATCAGAGATTAGCCGGGCTAGTATGATTCGATTAGACTGACGCTGACACAAACTTTTAAATTAACAACACCATTAAACAACAGATCTGTTAGAAATGTTGATGGATTCACACAAATATCAAAAGTCGAATTTCCGTTTTTCTGTTGTCGAGAGCTATTTTTAATACAAATCCTATGCAAAAAAACTTAAAATAAATTTATTTATTATTAATTTATTTTCAATTTCATTAACTAGAATCTTTAAAAAACATTAATAAATTTAAATATACTACATACTTCTTTTTTATTATTTTCTAGACATTTAAATAAATTTACTTTTATTTTTATTTAAGTAAAAAACCAAAATGCAATTTGCCGTGACGAAGAATTTTCAATTTTATTTTATTTTTATTTGAAAAATTCAATGAGCAGTCATAAACAAAATTACAGAAAAATTGCACTTTAAACGTCATATAAAAAAGGAAGCTGAAAATAAAGGGGGAAAGTAAAGAAGTAATTTAAAGAAAAAAATAATTTAAATAAAAAAATATTAATATAATAATTTATCTGTCTCAGATTATTAAGGAGACATAAAAATAAAAAAAATTTTTAGAAAAGTTTAAAGGCATTGATGATCAAAAATTAAAATAAATGTCCTTCAATTCCTCTCGTTAAGCTACTTTCAAATATACATATGTAAAACTTTTTCATAAGAGACAAAAACTCGAAGAGTTCCAGGTTTCAAAACTTAATTTAAAAGAGCTCAATTGGGTCAAACATAATTTGAAAATAAAAAAATCTCAAACAAAATTTATTCCTTATTAAGAGAGAACACAATCGACAAAAGAATAAATTAGAAAAGAATAAATAAAGAAAAATCATTAAATTGGGAAAGGATTGATTGGTCGTGTTTTGGTTAGTAGATAAAATAAATTCTGCGCAAACGGAAAAGGTGAAAAAACAGAAAAAAAATCAGCAGGAAAAATATTTTTTTCTTTTGTTATTTCTTTTGTGCCCTAAGGAAAATATTTTACTGAACAGGCCAGATCAACCAGTCATTGTTGTGAGAGAAAGAAGAACTTGTTAAATTCTCTTCTTCTACCCTTCACTACCTATTAATTCCTTTTTTCTTCTCCTTCCTCTGCGCATCTTTTTCTAATTTTCCAGGCATCTCAGCTGGTTTTTGGTTATTTACATTACCTAAATGATTGTACCTTAAGAATTATTTTTTTCCGTAAAAATAATTTAAAAACCTTCAAAAATAGAAATTAATTTGGTAAACATAAATTTTAATCGATCCTAAAAATTCTAAAAAATTCTTAACATTTTCATCTTTAAGCATGTTTTTTATAAAATTTTGGCATTTTTAAATTTGTTACTGGATGCGGGAATGCCTAATCTATACCTCTCTTTATAAGATAGTCTCATTATGAGATACAAATTTTTTATATTTCATAGTTTAGGTTCGATCATTAATAAAAAAAAGATTGATTAGATTTTGTTCGCCAAATAAATTTACTTGTACTATTTATTATTTTAAATTAATTACCAAAACAGAACCTTTAAAATCTTAAAAAATAAATATATATTAATTCGCCCAACAATTTTTTCCTTTTCATCTTCTTCATTTTATAATTCATGCATTTTCTCTCTAAATTCAGAAAATATTAAGTTAATTATAAAATGTAATGGCCAAAAATTAACAGTTTATTTTTAGAAATTTCTATTTAAAATTAACTCAAAGGACAATATGGAATCCTTTTGATAGGGCGATTTTTAAATGGAAATCGTTATCCAATTTATTGGATTTATATATCAGATTATTTATCTGATTGACCAGGAAAATTTTCGGATGTCTAGAAATGAAATGAAAATTTTGAGGGAAAGCAGTCTTAGTTTTTTTCTGAAATTCCCCGAACCAACAACCCTTAACGAGAATTGGGAGGTGGGATAGGGAGAAGGACATATGTAGCCTTCTCCTCAGTCTGTAACTTTAACCATTTCCCACCTTAAAAATAATTTTAATTAAAATAATAAATTTCTTTATTTTATTTAAAAGTACTTTTAATAAACTAATTTTGTAGACAAGTTTTAATTTTAAATATTTTATTACAATTTACATTTTAATTTTAAAATATTAGAATAACAATTAATAAATACTTCCTTTTTAAATTTAAAAATTTAATTTTTTTATTTACATTTTTTAAACTTAAAACTTCATTTATAATTAATCAACCATTCTTATTAGAAATTTTTTTAGTTAATTAATTAATTTTACATTCAAATTTATTTTAAGAGATTTTTTTAAATGTGATTATTTACTTGTGTGGAAGGGAACTGTCTAAACAATACCTCCTATTTAACATAACTCATTATAAGATACGATTTTTCCGTCCATAAGGTAAGGTTGTCGGTTCCGGGTTTCCGGAACCAACAACCCCGAATATCTGGAAATTCGGTTCCGGTTCCGGATATCAGAAGATTTCCCAGGACCGCCAACCTTACCATAAGGGTGTATTTTCCATTGAGGTTCAACTGCGAAATGCTGATAATTATTGTTTTGTTAAATTTATTATAATTTAATTTTAAAATTTTTAAAACAAAATTAGTTTAAAAAATGAGATTAAAAATTATTTTATTTTTATTTATTAATTATTTAAATAAATATAATAATGCTCAAGAAGGTGCCTTTAGAAAGAATTATATTGTAGAGAAAAATCAAACTTGGAACGGACATTTTTATATTTTACGTGATGAACAACCTTTCTTTAGAGTTTTTCATGAAACACATAGAAAGGTAAAAATAAAAAAAAATTTTAGATAAATATATTTTAATATTTATTTAAAAAAATAATTATCATTTTTTTGTAAATTTATGAAATAATTAGGCTGACAGGCCGCCAGACTATATACCAACATCTATGAAAACACCTATGAATAAAGTTAAGTTGTAAAGATTGCTGTGTTTTTCTTTCAGATTTTTTAAATAAAAATGGGATGGTAATCAGAAATTGTTAATTGATAATAGAAGAGTTACCTTTTTCTTTCAACCGAAAAAATCATTTTCCGCTCAAAATACTTTTGATGTTCTCATTTATGATAACAAACAAAGAAGGGATTAAATTAATTTAATTAGGTATTCCGTGATAATCCAAATGCGGGTAGAATGTCTAACGAACCCCCCTCAATAGATGCTCAATTAATGGAAGAACACGGAAGTGATCAACGTTTGAGGTAATTAATTTACATAAACAAGACCTGGAATAAAATAATTGTAATTCTATCTGTACCGATTAACCCTTGTAACGTTTTGTCTATAGAATAACTCTATGGTTTTAAGTTTGTCAGGAAAGGTTTAAATTTGTGAGAGATCGAAGGCTGCCCTTGGGAGTCAGTGAGCGGTATTAGAAAGTGAACCAGATATGTATCACCTCTAATTTAGCCAAAAAATAATTATTTATTTATTTAAAAGAGAGGCTGCTCAATTTTGGCATGAACATAATCAAAAATTAATACATAATCAAACAAATAATCAACAAGAAAAACACTTAGAACATAATTATCCTTTTCAAAGACGAATTAAACGTGCAGAAAAATCACAAAATAATAATTTAATAAAAGACGATTCAAAAACTTTAAACGAATTAGAAATATTAACAAAATCCTTAAATTCCCAACAAAGAAAATGGATGAAAGCTGCATTAAATGAAATAATGAAGGAAGGAGGAGGAGAGGGAGGGGAACAAAATAATGAAGATAATATACAAGATAATTCTATGGTTTTAACCGTTATTGAAAGAAATCAAAACAAGTAAGGAAAGGAGGGGAGGGGGGGGGGGTATTTGATAATTCTAATAAGGGATTTCGCTAAAATAAAAATATTCGAATAATTAATAATAATTTATGTTACACTAAAATTCAAAAATAATGAAATTTTATTATACACTGCTCCACATAATTATAAGTCCACCCGTTTTTTCGTTATTTTTTCAATTCCAATGCTCCAAATTTTCTGAAAATTTACATACACATCTTTTAGTGAATAACTAACAAGATGTCAATCGATTTTTTGCTGATTTTTTATCTAAAAATTTTTTAGGCCAAAATGTGCACTTTCGGCCTCCACAAAATTATAAGTCCACTTTCCAAAAAAGTTAGTTCCAACAATAGGAAAAATCTACAAAAAATCCAGCAAAGATACATAATGATATTATGAAAAAATAAAAAAGAACTAGACCCATATCTTTACCCTAAGCCGAGATCCTGAGACCCCAAAAATCAACGTAAACCGGGGGTAAGGCTCTTTAAAAAAATTTTTCGACCCCTTATGGATTGTTTTGAATTTTGATTTTGTGCTCATTCGAGAGCCCTTGAAGTTTGCTACAAGATAGCAAATAGTCTTATTTTTCAGAAAAATTCCATAAAGAGACACAAGACGATAAACTTTCAAAGCGTCATTAAAGGGCATTTTATGGGGCATTTAGACGATTTTTGCTGCATCAGAAGATTAATGGCCCGTATCTTTCTAATCGAATTTTATATAAAATATCATTAATGCTATCTTGTAGCAAATTTCAAGGGCTCTCGAATGAGCACAAAATCAAAATTCAAAACAATCCATAAGGGGTCGAAAAATTTTTTTAAAGAGCCTTACCCCCGGTTTACGTTGATTTTCGGGGTCTCACGATCTCGGCTCCTGGTAAAGATACGGGTCTAGTTCTTTTTTATTTTTTCATAATATCATTATGTCTGTTTGCTAGAATTTTTGTAGATTTTTCCTAATTTTGGAAATATCTTTTTTGTAAAGTGGACTTATAATTTTGTGGAGGCCGAAAATGAAAATTTTGGTCTAAAAATTTTTAAAATAAAAAATCAGCCAAAAATCTATGCACATCTTATTAGTTATTCACTAAAAGGAGTGTATCTAAATTTTCAGAAAATTTGGATCAGTAGAAGTGAAAAAATCTCGAAAAAAGGGGTGGACTTATAATTATGTGGAGCAGTGTATATGTATTTAATTATTAAAGATCCGAAGCTAAATTTGGCCATCACCATTTACCCGCTGGAGAACAAAAAGATTCAGCTACATGGCCATGGCAACTTTGGCCTTTTATGCATTGCTTAACTTTAGAATGTATTTGCCCTTTATTTAGAGGTTTTTGGGAAAGAAAAATTTAAAGAAAAATTCAAAAATTTATAGGAGACGTTTCTGGTAACCAATGTATTTTACCTAATGGAAAACCTTTACAAAGAGCAATTCGAAAAGAATTTCGAACTTTTAATCCTGAAGAAATGGCTTTGTTTTTGGAGACTATGAGAAGATTTAAAAAGAGTGGATATTACTCTCGTTTGGGTAAAAAATAATTTAATTTTAATTAAATGTCTTATCTCTCCAAAACAGATTTAAAATAAATTTTCCACTTTTTCACATTCCCAACTTTTAAATTAAAATATTTTGAAGTTTTTAATTTTATAAATTCTAATTCCTCTATACAATTAATTATTTTCACAGGAATGATTCACCGAAGATCAGGTGTCCATTCAGGTCCTTCCTTCTTTCCGTGGCACAGAGAATTTCTTAAAAGGTATTTGAATATAATTAAATTAATTTATTTTTAAATTTTAGATTAGAAATTGTTTATCGTTCTTTTCACCCTGAAAACACAGTAAATTAATAATTTAAATAAAAATTCAAACTCTTCTTTAGGACCCAGTACTTGGACTTCCTTACTGGGACAGCTCTTTGGATGGGGGTAAATAAATATTAAGAGAAACATTCTTTTTTCTTTTTTAGGGCTTCCTGCACCGGAAGATTCAATTATGTTTAGTGATTATGTATTAAATATTTTTTATATTTAAATTTAATTTTTTCTTATAAAGTTGCTTGGTGAAGCAGACGATTTTGGTTTTGTGACAAACGGGCTTTTTGCTAATTGGACAACTATGGATGTAAATATATCAGAATTTTAAATATTCAGAATTCTGATTATAAAAATATCAGAATTAAAAATTAGAAATTCTGATTAATTTTAAATTAATCAGAATTTTGTTTTAATAATTCTGATATTTTTATTTAAAGGGAAGACATTCATTTCAACGAATGTTTGGAGATCAGGAAGACGGTAGAAATAAATAAATTCTCTCAAACATTTTGTAAAATTTTTAAAGGTGAATTTTTCAATGAAGGCAGAATTGATTATGTGCTTTCACAAACTAGTGTAGATAAAGTTTTGACATATTCTTTACCTTTACATGTAAAAATAAATTTTAAGAAAATTAAAACAAAATATTTTTTATAGACTTGTGTTAATTATGAATTAGATGACCGTTTTCTTGAATATTCACATGATTATGTTCATTATTTTATTAGTGGAGATATGCAGGAACGTTTCAGTTCAAGCAATGATCCTATCTTCTTTATGCATCATGGTCTTTAAATTTATTATCAATTTATATCTAAAATACAGTCAAATTAATTGGGAAAGGAGAGGGGCAAATAAAATTTAAAGTGGTACGCTGAGATCCGGTACGCTGAGAGAGCTAATTCTAATTTTGCGTCCTATCATTGTTAAATTCAGATAGTTGAGCTGCATCGAATCATGCTATGGCTCCAAAAATTTTAACCGAGGTCATAGTAAAGCGATTAGATGATCGTTTTCTTGAATAATCTCTTTAGTATGGTACCTCTCACATTAACTTCTTAAATGTCAACTTAATTCTAAGAGATTCCACTATTATACCTTTTCAAAACATCCTGATCATAAGATATCTAGGATAGTAATGCCTAACCATACCTACTAGTATTTATATTTTTGAAGGTTTTGTTGACTCAGTTTGGGAAATGTGGAGACAAAAAAGACAAACCAGATTTCAGCGAGAACGTGACTATCCACGGGATGATGGGGAATGTATGCCAGAATGGCACTTTTCTGATGCCTTTATGCCAATGCTGCAACCTTTACGAAATCTGGGTTTTTAAATTATTTTTCTTTTGAAAATTTAAAAATTAATTTTATAAAATAGATGCCCTTTCTAATAATTATACCGATAATATGTATGAGTATGCTAAAAGGCCTTCCTGTCCTAATGGAGACTCAGAGGAATGTGGAAATACAAAGTAGGTTTAATTAAGGAAAAGTATCTGACTATTACTAGTTTGGACTCACTACAAAATATACCTCTGGGCTGAATAATCTTATTTTATAATGAGGGTATTTTAAATTAAGGGTATTGCTTAAGCTAAAATTGAATTTTATCCTTTTGGTGTGAGTTCTGACATTTATTTTTCCTAAAATCTAGATTTCTTTGGTGTGATCTAAAAACAAATATTGGGCACCCAGTTTGTTTAGCTAAAGTTAAGCCTGGTGGAAATTGTAAAGGATTTGAATGGTCTACTGAAATTTGTTATAATGGACAGTGTTTAGAAGGACGGTGTACTCGGGTACTTGAACAACAAAATAAAAAATATTCAAAATATGAAAAACAACAAAAACAAATTGATAAAGTTTATGAACATTGGCACACAGAAAGTTTTATGAGACGATAAATTTCATAATACATACATACATATCTTCAATATTTTGTAGTAACATTTTTATTTTCCCTTGCCATTCGTTAAAAACAAAATTTTGTATCAATCGGGTAAATAAAATTTTGTAGTGATAAATACTTCCATTAATTGGATTAAATATTTAAAAAAGGATAAAAAAAGAAATTGTTATTATTGAATGAAATTAGTAATCTGAAGTCTAATTTTAGAAATATCTGAAGGTATAAATTCAATAAATTGGCATTATACAAATGAACAATTCAGAGTAGACTCCGACAAAATTGCAATTCAAAGATTTTATGACGGATTCTTAAAAAATCCAAATCTCTTTGGGGTTTCTTCTTTTGGCCTTTCAAAATTTAAAATCTGTTCCTCCTGTTTTCTCAGGTAACACTCTAATTCAAAGGTTATATTTCACAGGACTAATTGGTTGTTTTTTTAGATATTCCTATTGTTAATATTTTTTGATATTTACCCTAATTTCAATTTTTTCAATTAAATCAAAATGTTCCTTTTAAAACACAGGAAATATAATTTAAAAAAAATATAAAATTCCACAAAAAATATTCATTAATTTTATATTCACAATTAAAGCCTTCTATTTATTTATTTCCTCTTTATTAGTATCATTTTCCAAAAAGGTGAATCCTCTTGCTAAAAAATATAAAAAAAATAAAATTTTTGTTTGTTAGCTAATTGGTCTCGCTTTGCTTTTTTTAAAAAAAATTCCCTTCAATTTATTATTTCTTCAACAAAATTGAATGCTTATTGAATGCTCAACCCGCCCCTTTATTTTATTTAACTTCCCACGGGTTCTATTTCCTCTTCCCCCCCCCCCCTCCCCTCTTCCCCCCCCTCTTCCCCCTTAATACACACAAATTTGTAAAATGCCTGAATTTGTATTTAGAAACACGCAGCTTGGCATATCAAAATGAATAAAAAAAGTTTATCAATTTCACACACTTATTTTTTAAATAAATAAGTAATTTATTAATTTAAGTTGAAGAATATTAAATATTAAATTTTTTTATTTTTTATACAAATTTTATTCTTTTCAAAATTATTTTTGATTTTGAATTTTTATGTGAAAATTTCTAAATTTAAATTTTTTTCTATTAATTCCAATTAATTTAATTGAAATTTTAAAAGAAATTTTCTTTTCATTTATAGAAAAGAATGGAAATTTTGGTTTTAAAACTTTTCCTTCAAAAATCTAAAAAATTTACAAAAATGTCTAAAAATATTTCATAAAAATTTTTAATTTAATTTTTTACCTATCAAATACAGTCAAATCTCTTTAGAATGGCGCCCTCTCACCTTTCCTTTCCTTCAAATGTCAACCTAATTCTTAAAGAGATTCCACTATTATATAGCTCAGATTCCCTTAAATTTTACTAATAAAAATGTTTTACACAAATTTTTTATTTAATCAAATTTCCTTTAGTCAATCAAAATAAAAAGTTGTCTTCAATTCAATTTGTATTGTTTTCTCCTTTTCTCCCCTTTTCCTTTCTTTTACTCAATTTTTATTTGCCAAAAGTTAAAAAAACAATAACTAAATAAAATCTTGTATATATTCTCCTCCTTTTTCTCCAAAAAATATTTTTTTTTAATAAAATATTCTTTTACTAATTCCGCTAATTTGTTCATTCCCCCTCTCCCCTCTCCCCTCAAGATTTCTTTTTCTGTTCAATAATTCATAATCTTTTACTTTAATATATTCGACCTCACATTGTTAACAATTTCGTGTCAATTTCTTGTTTAGTTTTATTTTTTCTTTTGTTTTAATTTTTTAAAGTTTTTGTTTTAAACAAAATTAGGTAGCTTAAAAAAATTTTTTTGAAATTTAATAAAAAGGTTTAATTATATTTATTAAGCAGAATATATAGAATAGAATAAATATAGAATATCTATAGAATAAAGTTGGGGTTCGAATCAAGTCTCAACCGATTCTTTAGTTCGTCTCTTGGCTTATTTATATCAATAAGCCTTCTCTAATAAAAGGAGGGGGATTTATTAAAGAATAGAATTTTAATTAAATTAATTTAAGAAAAACTAGAGAATTTAATTGTTGACTTTTTTAAAAACTAAGGAAAATTTAAATTAAAATAAAGTAAATTCCTCTTATTTTTCATTCCAAATTTCAACTAAATAAATTGCTTCTCATCTGCCAGATTTAAATAGGTCGAAGTAAATTGGGCAATTTGTGCCTATTCCCGCGGGATAGTCAGTAGACAACGTGACGGGGAGGGAAGGAACAAAAAAATAGGGGGATGATGCCAAACAGTAGAAAATCTTTTGCATTTGAGCTTTATAGAGGGGATAAAAAAAGAAATAAAAAAATAAAAAAAGGGGGGTTGAGGAATCAATGCAAAAAATGTTGAGGGAATGCTGATGAAGTAAAAAAAAATTTTTTTACGGAAATGCTTCGGAAATGCTTGTTTTCTCTTATAAAAATGTTCTTCTTCTCCTTTTTTAAATTTGACGTAATATTTTTTTTCGGAACTCTTCCTCTTAAAAATATGCCAGTCACTCTCTACTTCGTTCATTTTTCTGTTCGAATTTTTTACATAAATTTATTTTTCCTACCAAAGCAGCAATTTAGATAGTGCCAAAACATTCCATTTAAAAAAATTGGGAATTTTTTCCTTTGGCTTTATAAAATAGGTAAATGATTGGGGGATAAGTATCAAAAAATTTCCTTTAAAATGATTTACTAAAATTAAACGTTTCCAATACTTAATAATACAGTCGAACTTCATTAATTTGATTATATACTTGATTGAGGAGCTACTTTAGAGGATAACCTCAATTTAAGATCAAACATTTATGAGATACAGTTTTTTAAGCCTCGCAACTATATTTACATATAATTGTGTTAAAACTTTAGAGGATTTCTTATGAACATTCATCGGCTTATGTTTATGCCTTTCACATATATGATTTGCTCTTTGGCAATAAACTAGACAAAAAATAAGCAAAAAAACATTTTAAGAACAAATATTTATTCACATAAATCGGAAAAAATTTTTTCCCTTACAAACTTCCTCTAAACTTTTTCCTAAGGGAATAACAGACAAACGGAACTAACCAGAACCACCAACTTTTTGACGCCTTTCATTTTTCTTTTTTTTTTTATTTTTCTAATCCGTTCTAACGTCATTTTTTGGAAGAATTTGAAAAATAGTCGAACTCTTAAATTAAGGTTACACTTTAATTTAAGAACGTTTTTAAGGCGACTTCTAAGCGATACTTAGGCGATAACTCTCTTATACCAAACTTGAATTAAAAGCTTAACCTTTTCAGTTTCTAGGATCTATTAAGTAGAGTTGCACGAGATCGATATCTCGACCGAGACCGAGACGAGAATCTCGGCCATTTTCCAATCTCGGTCTCGGTTTTGCCGAGACGAGACCATCTAACCGAGACGAGATTCTCGGCACTTAATCTCGCCGAGATCCGAGATCAGTATACACCCCTAAAGATTGACCTTCTTGAGATTTATTTTTATTTTGACAAAATATTTAAAATTTCGCTAACCCAACCCCAACCTTGAACACAAAGAAAAATCCAAAATTTGGGGCTTCAGTCCCCAATTGGCCGGCCAAATTCAATTTGGACAAGAATGTAATTTGGACGGTGACATATATACACCGTATTTCTTCTAATAGTGCGACTGTCTCTAATAGACCGACCCCTTCTAATAAACCGACCCCGTAGAGGAAGGTTGAAAAATAAACCGACTGCCTCTATCAGACCGACCCCTTCTAATAAACAAGGGTCCGTACATAAGTGTCCCCTACCCTTTATACTTAAGTCTTTCTGGAGAAATGGTGGAAAAAATTCTAGTTGTAAAGGCAAATATGGATAAACTGTTGCTTGGTCCACCAACTGAAATTGATTCTGATGAAACATATGATTTTGATGATAGATATTTAATTAATAGATGATATTTAATTAATTTAAATGGGTTTTGGTGGATAAAAAATGTTTTGAAAAATCTCGGTTTATCTCGGATCTCGATATCGGTCTCGGGTCAAATTTTGCATCTCGGTCTCGGTCTCGGTCATGCGAGTCTCGGTCAATCTCGGTCTCGGATTTATTCTAAAATCTCGATCTCGTGCAACTCTACTATTAAGTGCTATCTAACTTTAGTATTTCTTAATTAAAATGGTTAATATTCCGATGCTTAATCGCGATTCTGAATGGCTTAAACAAAGAATTGATGAATGGTCTAGTCAACCAGAAATGCAGAAACGATTGGTTTTAATTGTTGTTAGTGTGGCACTTCTTTTAGATAATATGCTTTACATGGTAGAAAATATAGTTTAAAATTTGATTAGAAATTTTGTAAAAAATCCAGGTTATTGTCCCAATTATTCCAAAATATTTGAGAGACATTCACGCTTATGAGGTAATTAATTAAATACTAAATATTTAAATTAAAGTATTCGCTCTCCCTTTTTAAATTTCCAATTTTTTTTAATAGGTAGAATATGTTGGTTATCACAATGAAACTAGAAGAGTAAGGAATATTTACAAGAAAAATCACAAAAATAAATTTTTTTCTTTAGTTAGCTAATGGTTCGATAGTTGTTAGAATGATTGGCGGGCAAATAGATTATTTGGATGAGGAAATAGAATTAGGATGGTTATTTGCAGCTAAAGCTTTGCTTCAAATCTTTGTTAATCCATTTTCTGGGTAACTTATTTTTGATACAGGAGAACCTTAGGAAAGGGGTTGAATAATAACGCATAAATTAAGGTATATCTAGTAGTAGAATGGGATGTAAATTATAATTAAGACCGACCTAGTTTAGGGTAAATCCTGTAGCTGGGTGGGGGGATCCCAAGATCCAACCATACATTTAGGATATTTTTTCAGCCCAAGGTTTTATTTTATAGTTTTATCCAAATCTAATTTAATTAAAAAGAATTTTTTCAGATTTATTATTGACCGTGTTGGATATGAATTGCCAATGATTATAGGCTTAATAGTAATGTTTTCATCAACAGCTATTTTTGCTTTGGGTAAAAGTTACGGTGTTCTTTTCTTCGCCCGTTCCCTTCAAGGGTTTGGTTCAGCTTTTGCTGATACTTCTGGTCTAGCAATGATTGCTGACAGATTTACTGAAGAGAGTGAACGTTCTGCAGCATTGGGTATTGCCCAGGCATTTATTTCTTTCGGAAGTTTGGTTGCCCCTCCTTTCGGTTCTGTACTTTATTCAATTGCTGGAAAACCTGTTCCCTTTCTTGTTCTTTCTTTGGTCTGTTTAACTGATGCTTTTATGGTATTTTGGGTTATACAACCAAAAGCGAGGGTTTCTAATGCCAGAAATCCTGAAACTGGTGAAAGACTACAAGGAACGCCTATGTGGAGGGTAATTATTTTTAAAAATTGTAGAGAGAAAAATAGAGCTTTTTCAAAAAAAATCAAAAATTTTGTTTTAGAAAAAGTTTTTTAAAAAATATTATTAAAAAATATTGTTTAAATTATTTTTAGTTATTTATGGACCCTTTCATTGCTGTCTGTTCAGGTGCTTTAATTATGGCAAATATTTCACTAGCATTTATTGAACCTACAATTACGAAGTAAAATTTTATTAAAAAAATATTTTATAAAATATAATTGTTTTTAATAGTTGGATGTATGAAGTTATGCCTAATACTCCAGATTGGCAAGTAAGTTAATCGAGATTTATCTAATAATTTTTATCAGAACTTTCGGTATTTTTTGGGTTCGACTTTCTTGGAAGGTTCCTTTTCCTATTTTACTCTCTAAAGACTGGTTTTAATGAACAAACTTTTTAAATAAAAAATCAAAATTTTCCTCCTCTGCAAATGTTTAATTAATTATATATTTTAAATTTTAATGAAAGGTTGGAATGATATGGTTTCCAGCGTTTTTTCCAGACGTATTTGGTGTATATTTAACAGTTCGTCTATTAAAAAAATATCCACAAAAGAGTTGGCTATTTGCAACAATTGGTCTTTTAATGGAAGGTTTAAGTTGTTTAGCCGTTCCTTTCATGTCCAGTGCTTTCCAATTAATTATTCCTCTTTCAACAATTTGTTTTGGAATTGCTTTGATTGATACAAGTTTATTACCAATGTTAGGCTTTCTCGTGGATACTAGACACGTTTCTGTTTATGGTTCTGTATATGCTATTGCTGATATTTCTTATAGTTTGGCATATGCTTTTGGACCGATTATTGCTGGGGGAGTTGTTAATATACTTGGATTTGTTGTTTTAAATATTTTTATTTGGTTAGAGATTAATTTAATTTTAAAAATCAGTTTTAGTGAAGGGAGAAGAAATGGGGTTGTTTAGAAGTAAAATGTTGTTTCAAAGATTTCAAAAAAAAAATAATCCGATAAAAACTTAAAATTAAAAAATATATTTAAATTTAAAGTATTCTAAATGTTGGTTATTCTCCATTAATTGGAACTTTAAGAAAAGTTCATGGCTACGAAAATGTTTCTGGTAATAATGTTGTTGGTCAACAACAACCGAAAATAATGAATGGAAATATTATAGAAAATCAGGTAAAAATGCATATAAAAATTTGTGATATTAGTATGTTATCTTTACCCAGATTTTAATTAAATATTTTATAAAATTACTCTATTATCTAGCAGCTATTTCAGTTATAGATAAATCCCAACTTTTAAATTTAAATAAAAAATATGGTGGGAGGGGGCTGCCCATTTAAGATACAATTATTTCATTATCAACATTGCGAGTTTATTATCTAGTTAATTGGCACAAATACAATTATTTTTGTATAAACTTCCAAACACTGTCCACAAATATTTTGAATTAATTTTTAAAATAATTTTTTATTAGAAAGAAGAAATACAACAACATCCGTTGGACAGGACAGATTCTCAATGGATTGGAAAAGAAGATTTAAATGGATATCAACAACAAACAACTAATTTTGGTGGTAATCCTTCCAATGATGGATTTGACCCTTTAAATCCTCAATGGTGAAAATTTTCAAAAAAATTTTTATTTTCCCTTCGCTCATTTTGCAAAAAAAATTTTTGCAAAAATTTTTTTTATATTTTTAGAAATTATTTTTCTGAGATTTTTGTGCTTTCCCTTTTTAAATGTTTCCAATTTCCTTAATATTTTTCCCATATATTTTAACAATTAGAGAAAATTACTAAATTAAAAAATTAATTAAAATAATGGGAATAATTAATTTTAGAAAAAGAAAAAATTAATTAAAATAATTTTATATTTTTGTGTGAAAATATATTTTAAATTTTGAGTTGTATTAAATTTTTAAAAATTAGTAAATTACTCTCACTAGTTTCCTAGATTTTCGTCACTGCCTAAATTTTTAAAAGTGCGAATATTTTGAGAAAGAAGTTGAATTATTTCCCAAATTATTGCACATCCTAGACATAGGATTAGAGATAAATTAACGATTACCAGTAGTTAAAATTTTTGAGAATAACATTACTAAGATTGGCTGGAAGTTAGCTTCAATAAATCGAAATAGGGGCATTTTTACTTGTTAAAATTAATTTTGTATACTCACAGACTCTTTTTGGATAATTTCTTTTAATTATAAACAATGTTTTTTGGATTTTATAAAAATGTTTATTTAGTTTCTAATTTCCAAATTTTTATAAAGAATATATTTATGTACATATAGACAAAAGAATTAATTTTATTAAAAAACAATTTAATTCTGAATCATTTATTTAAACTTATTTTATAAACATTTAAAGTATTCTCACTTTTTAAAAATTTGGGGGTTCTGTGCCAATGTCGAAATTAAATAGCCCCCTTTTATTACAGATATTTTTTCTTTAAATTACCCAAAAAATTATTTAAATTTAATTTTATATTTTTTTTTATTTTAGTAATTCTTTCTCTTCCCTTTTTTATTCAATTTTATATGTCATTCTTCCTTTTTTCAAATTTTTATTATTAAATTTGCATAGTGAAATTTATTTTCAAAAAATTCTTAAATTTTGTTTTCCAATGACCATCAAAGAAATATTTTAAATAAAAATATTTTTGTTTTAAACAATTAATTTTAAAAATATTATTTTTCATAATTTTTTAGTTTTTCAGTTGATTTAGTCTTTAACTATTCTCTGGTTTATATAAAATTTTATCAAAATAATTCTTAAATTATTTTAAGTATAAAATCAGATTTTTATAAGTTACAAACTTGAGACTAAAAAGGGTTAGGGAGGGGGTGTATTGCTTACACCCATTTAACAAACCAAATTTCAAAAAAATTAAATAGGTCTCTCTATCCAAAATTGAAAGTATCTTCTAGTTACTAGATTTGACTGTTATAAAAAATATTTTTTTATTTAAAATTTTCTTTAAAAATATTTTTAATTGCCTTTTATTGTTCTCGAAAATAAAATGTTTTTTGAAAAAAAATTTTTTAAACTAAAAATAGTAAATAAATAAATTGTTTAAAAGCAATTTAAATATTTTTTTCTAAATTTATAATTTAATTTTTAAATAAAATTAAAATAAAAATAGAATTTTTTAATGGAAACAACAACAATTATTAACAATAATATATTAATTAATAATTTAAAAGAAATTCAGAAGGAAAATAAAAAGTTGGTGGAGAAAATTGATGGGTGGAATCAGGTTAGAGTAAATTAAAAATTATTTGAAAAAACTTTGAAAAATATTTCCTTAATTTTCCTTAATATCTCAATATTATTTTAGATATTCAAGAAATCCCGCTAACCATATCTACTAACCTATATTATTCTCCAGTCTAATTAATAAATAAAAAATTAAAATAAGTACCAGTTAGTTGGTTAAAAAATTAAAAAGTTCACGGAATAGAGGTTTCTAACTCGCGTTGAAAAGATTAAAATATTTGTTTATTTTTATAATTTGAGTAATCCCATCCAATTTTTTGTTACTATTAAATAAAAATAAATAATTATCTTTTAAATTTATTTTTTTAAGTATTTACTCCTTAAACCGCCAATTCCTGATTTAAAACACACATTAACTCGTTATTTGGAATATTCTTCTGTTTTGGCACAAACATATAAATTAGATTTTGATAAAACAATTGAAAATGTTAAAAAATTTGAAGAAACAATTGGACCAAAATTGCAACAAAAATTAAAAGAAATTTCTTTTAAAGAAGATAATTGGGTTAATTAATTAATTATATAATTAGAATTCCTGTTATGTCCTTGACTGCAGTGTGTCCGAGGGAGGAATATCAGAATAAAGACTTTATCACAACAACTATACACAATAGTAACGAACAATAGGAATAGTATATGTGGAGCACTAGAATAAGACAATAAAATAACAACTAACAGAATAACACACGGAATAACACTAACACACTAAGCACATACCCAATAATTTTTTGCTATAAGGTGCACCCTTTGGAGACTAAAAAATTTCAAATTTAGTTATACCATACATATAATGAAACTTAACTTTAATTTAAAATTTAAAAACAATTTAAGATAAATCAATTTTGGCTTAAAGAAATGTATCTTAAACAAAGACTTCCTCTTCCAATAAATTTTAATCCTGCCTATATTTTTCCTCATCGAGAATTTAAAAATGAACAAGAACAAATTAAGTATTAAATTAATTAATTAAATTAAATTAATTATATTTTTTTAAGTTATGCAGCATTATTAATTAAAGGATTTTTGGATTTTAGAGAAAAGGTAGAAAGAAAAGAAATTCCTTTAGAAACTGTTCCGGATAGATTTATTGGTGGAAAATCTGTCCCAATGTGTATGGACCAATATGGTAAATTATAAATTTAATTAAAGACAAATTATCAGAGTTGGACAGAGATTATCAGTCTCGGTCAGACTTCAATAGAAGGCCGTACAAAAGAGATAACTTTTGGGTGATTCTTGTGGATTAATAATTTTTGGGACTGAGATAAAGCACTCATATCTCAATTAAAGTAAACCTTTGTCATGAACAATTTAAATTAAGTATATCTTAATCTCTAACAGCTTCCCGTTGTCAACCCAATTTTAAAAACGTGTCTTAGCCTAACAGTTTCAGTTACCTAAAATTAATCTAAAATAATTACATATTTATTTTTTAAGAAAGAATATTTAATTTCTATAGACAACCATCATTTAATGAAGATATTTTATTTGATAAAAGAAGAATAAATAAAAAACAATTAATTGAACATATATTAATTTTATATAAAAATCAACAATTTATTTTATTTATTAAAACAATTGAAGGAATTTTAATTAATTTAATTCAAATAATTGAACAATTGAGGAAAATAATGGAAATGGCTAAAAATAGAAATATTCAAAATATAATACCTATTGGGGGTGCTGGGACTGGGGGAAGGGATAGAGCTGCTAAATTTTGGGAAGAAATGAATAAAGGTAGTTTTGAGGGAACTTTAATTTAAAATAAAGTAAGAGAAAATTGAATTTTTGGGTGATTTAACCGTTGGCAATTAATCGTTAAATTGCCTTCTGATTAACCCTGTTCTTCATTTGAACTAAATTTATGTTTTCTGGTTATAAGGGGAAGAATTTTTTTGTGTGTGTTTAAATTTTTAATTATTTCAGAACATTAGTTTGTATTTTTCTGAAATTGCAAATTACTTGTCCCGAATTACCCCTCAATGATTCGGAGTCTAACCCAATCAATTTAGATCAAATAAATCAAAATTCACTTGAATTGACGCGTTCTTCAATTTTTGTTTTGTGTTTGGATGATGAAAATATTGATAATATTGATAATAATTTAAATCAAATGGAAATTGATGGAATGCAAATACTTTATGGATTTGGGCCTAAATATAATGGACTTAATAGATGGTTTGATTCAACTATTCAAGTAAATATATCTAAGAGACCTCATTTTTTGGCTACACACAAAACTCGATTTATTTCTCGATTTAAGATAAACTTGTTTAGCAATCGGGGCGTTCCAACCCCAAGGGTGTATCTCATAATGAGTTCCGACTTTTATTTGGCAAAGATAAGAAAAAAAATTTTCAAAAAAAGTTAATTGTATCTAAAAATGGATGTTGTGGAACTTGTATAGAACATTCTATTGCTGAAGGAATTGTGCATATTAAAATGACTGAAGAAGCTATGAGATATGCTAATAATAATTTTGATTTATTAAATGTAAATTTTGATAGATTTTTTTTATAAAAGATATTTTTAGAAAAAACAAAAAGAACAGAAATGTGAAAATAATTTAACAATAATCGAGCCAAAACCTTTAAGTTGGGTAGTCAGTGAAAAGGCTAATTTACTACTTGGAGAGCAAATTGTTGAATTTGAACAGTTAATTTATTTAAAATTAGAATATTTATTAGTCGGACCTCATTTCTTGAGACAGCTGAAAAAATTATAATTTAAACTGAGAAGTATTTAAATAAGGAATCCCTTTATATCTTTAATTATATCTTTAACAGATCCCCTAATAATATATCAATGGCCAAACACATTTTAAATTGAGTTTATTAGGGTTTCATCGGAGCTTCCGGTTCCATAAAGTTCCGGTGTTTTTGGTTCCGGTTCCGGTGAAACCCTAGAGTTTATCAAGTATTTGGTTATTTTGTAATGAGGTCCGACTGTCAAAAGCTCCTCTAAAATTAATTTTTTAGATTAACTAATAATCTTCAATTAAATTTATTACAATTTAATGAATTTGGGAAAGATTCAATAAAAGGTTGGGGTGTTAGTCCAGATGGGTTTATGCAATTATGTATGCAATTAGCACATTTTAGGTTCTTTTAAAAATTCACCAAATTAATTTAATTTAAAAAAAACTAGATTACATGGTTATTTAGTAAATAGCTATGAATCTGCTACAATGAGAAGATTTAGGTTTGGGAGAGTTGATAATATACGTGCAGCAACCCCAGAAGCTTTAAATTGGGTAAAATCAATGAATAATCCAAATGAAGAAAAAGTTTTTTTTAATTAAATTTTAATTTAAAAAATATTTTTTTATAGAAAAGAAAAAGAATTTTACTTAAAATGGCTTTTGATAAACAATCTTTAATTACTAAAGAGGTAAATAAATATTTTGAAAATAATCTCAAAAAGTATGCCGATTATTATCGTTTCGTGCCACACTGCTAAAAATAAATATAGAATATTTTAAAACCCAGATAATAAATTCTAATAAAGGAAAGCTTGTAGTATTTTAGGTGAGGATTGAATTTTTAGGTGATTGTAAATAATAAAATAAACAAAGGATTTTTAAAGTTTCCCCTTCTTTTAAAAAAACTTTTAAAAATTATTTATTTAGAATTTAATTGGTAATGGAATTGATAATCATTTGTGTGCATTAGAAGTTTTAAGTCGGGAAGAATTTGGTATAGAAAATTTACCAAAAATATTTCAGGATGAAATGTGGAAGGAAATGATGCGTTTTCCTTTATCTACTAGCCAAGTTTGAGAAAAATAAATTTTCTTTTAATTTTATTTTTTAAAGGTCAGTACTTCTACAGAATTTATTAATTGTTATCTTTATTATGGCCCTGTAGTTGATGATGGATATGGATGTGCTTATAATATACAGCCAAATTCTTTAATGTAAATTATTTAAATTCAGAATTAACTATAAGATACACCAAATTAAATTTAATAAATTCTTTAAGTCCACAGGGGTAGATCCAAGTCTCTTATAGAGAGACTTGTCAGTATTTTATTATTTATTAAAATATTTAAAATAAATAGTTTTGCAATTTCAACATGGAAATCAAATAAAAGAACTAATGGAGAATCTTTTAAATTAAAATTAATTGAATCCCTTAAAGAAATAAAAGAATTACTTGAATTTAATGAAAATTAAATTTAAAAATAATTATTTTCTTCTTCTAAATATTTCTTTATTTTATATTCAATTTTACTAAAAATTGGATCGAGATCGAGAATTTGAGCAAAAATTTCGGTTCTCGATCGAAACTGGAGTTCGGTCCTTATTAATTACTCTCTTAGATTACCACCCGATTTAGAAATTAATTATTCTTACAAATTTAACTAAAAATTTTTATTTTTATAAACCTCTTCAAATATCTAAAGGGGTATAACAAATATTTTTTCATCTACTTTCGAGAAAGAAATTGAATATAAAATAGAGAAAGTAACTATTGTGTATATTTTGTATATAATATTTTCTAGTCAATTTTACAAACTTGCAATATTTTACTTTCAATCAGAATTTAAATAAATATTACTTTACTTTTAAAAATAGTTAAAATATTAAAGATTAAGACAAACTAAGACTTCCAAAAAATGTACAAAAAATCATAAAATTTATGCGTATCATTAAAGAAGTTGAAAGTTAACTGAAAATTCATTCAAAAATTCCATGCAAAAAGAGACTGGTCTTAAATTCTTTAGAATTCCTCTTCAAAAGATCAAAGTTTTTGGAAGTCTCAGTTTCAAAAAAATATTTTTAAAAATATTCTGTAAGGTCTGGCAATTTCACATTTTTGCATTGAAGACAAAGATCAACAAGAGGTTCAGGCATTACTTTTTCGAAACGCCCGCGATCTAATACATAAACCAAATAATTGAAAAAATTGCTTATATTTTTTCCAGCTTTGAAGCAAAATTCGATTAAATGAAGCAATTCAGCGTATCTTCTAGCGCCTGGTAGTGGACCATAACGATTCTAAGTTTAATAAATAAACAAATGGATCTAGATTTTAAGCACACCCTTGGGCCAAATCAAAATTTGCCGGCCAAATTGAATTTTCTTTATTTCCCAGTTTTTTGTTCGGAACCTATAATCAGTTAATTTACCCATATAAATTTTAGATAAACATATACTGTTAAAATTGACCCATCCTAAAAATATGTATACCTGTAACATTTTCATTAATATTTTAGAATATTTTTCTGCCTCAGAAAGTAAAACTTTTTGTCCTTCTTTACTAACACCATTCGTAACAAAATGTGAATACATGATGGAACGAAGAAGTAAATATTCTTCATCATCTAATTGGACTCGATAGAAAGGTTCCATATTTGTTATAAATAATTTTTGGAGTAAATTATTTAATCTTTAAAAAGTAAGAAAATATTTTTTTATTAAATATTTTGGCATTAATGTTGACTTAAAGGAAGTTTATAATGTATTGTAAAGCCTATAGCTATTTAATTCCTAAGGCTTTGCAGTAAACGGCGTGGTGTAATGGATAACGCATCAGTCCGGTCTACTTAAGATGCTGGTTCGCTCCCAGCCGCCGAATAACCCTTTGCACTCGCTAAAGAAAAGAAATATCCAGGCTGCTTTACTGTATTTGAAGAAATGATTTCATAGATAAATAAATCATGTCTATAGTAATACCAATAATTTTTTAATTTTACGTTATATCCCCTTTATAATATTCTCCACCAAAAACTGCTACTACAGGTACTCCATCTGCTGATATGACTGCTCTTGTAAATTTTTTATAGGAATGGTAAGCTGAATTTAACGCTGCAATAGCCATAGCTATATTTGTGAGTTGATATATCTAAAAGATATTATTTTAGCTCTAAAGCATCCAAACGTGTTTTTGTTTGTAAAAATTTTAGTTTTTAGGACAGACGATTATTGGGTATGGGAAAGTTCGTTATTAGTTTAAATTTAAGAAATCCATAATCAACTTTACAAAATTATAGAAACATAAAAACATTCTGAAAACAAAAAAAGCCTAGAAGATATCACAACTGACAAAAATCTAAAAATGTCCAACATTATAGCTTTAATTTAAATAAATTAGAATATTTACAAGATCAGTTAACTCCAATTTATAAAAGAAAGGCATTGTTCTTGCTACATCAATAATTAACATTAGATCTTCAATTAATGAAATAGGTCGCAAAGCAAAAGGACCATTTTTGTGAATAAATTCAAAATAATCTGGTTTTGGAAAGGATTGTTCTTCGTCCTTTAAAAAATTTACAGTTTATTTTAAGGGCTGTCCAAGATCTACATATATCCGGTACTTTTTCTGTTTTTTAGATTGACTGGGATGAACCGGGAACTAAAAAGGAAATCTAGCTTCTTGACCTTCCAAAATTCTCAAAATCTTCAGCAGACCGAATCTTTCTGCCCCAAATGTCAGGTAGCATGCCTAGCAAGCAATCAAAAGTTTATCGATGTAGAGGGATCATATCCTTGATTTATTCGAACTGCCCATTTTAATTATAAATATTTAGACAAACAAACCAAATATTCATGACTTAAAAAAATTAAATTTTCTTTTCGATTAAATATTTCATTTAGTGTTTTGTAAGAAAAATCATAATGTTTATCAGTTATTTGTGTAGGCGAATTTCTAATTCTTCGAACATTTTTCTCCAATAATAATAAATTTTCAGTTATTTTAGTTTCTTCATTTTCAATTAATATTTGTTGCTTTGAAAAAAATTTTTAATTAAAACATTTTCAATTATTAACCCTTTATAAAATAGGTTTATAGCACTAGCCCTGGGGATCAGGGGTTGGATGTGTTAGCCGATGGTCTCAACTTGGAGCCACCCATCTGCCAAAAGATAATAAAATGTTTACCATAAATGAAAAATTAATTTCTTCAGTATTATTATTATAATTTCCATTTCTTTTTTTAACACAATATTTCCCTTTTAAAGCAAGTTCACCCAATCGTTGTTCAATTACTGAGCGTAGTTCCCATATAGATTTACTTTGTTTGGAGTTTTGTAATCTTTTTACATTCATTCCCGATAAAAGACATTTATCAAAACGACAACTTTTGCATTTTTTAGGAACTTTTTTAAAAAAATAATTATTTATTTGAGAATTATGAGAAAGAATTCATATACAGTAAATGCTTGAATAATTACCCCCCCCCCCCTACTCTCTTAGTTGAGAGGGGCGGATAATTATTTGAGAAAGGGCTATTTTTTATATTCTAAAAATTGAGTAAGATTACTCAATTTCCCATTGTTTTTTGTACCAAAGAAAGAAAATGGAAAAGTATCCTATTAATTTTTTAAAAATATTTTGTGTGAAAATTCTAGACCGACATATAATTTTAGAATGCCTCCCAAAAGTAAAAAGTAAAAAAAAAATTTTATGGAATCTTCTTTAAAATATTAATTAAAGTCACAAATTACATACCTGCCATAACATCACAATTTCCATCAAATCTACATTTAAACAATTCTTCTGCATTAATACAACGTCGAAAAAAGTGTTTACAACCTTTAGATATCAGGAAATTTTTTTAAGAAATATTTTTTACCATCACAACACTTAACATTATAATAAATAAAACCACTAGCAATATATCCACAAATACAACATTTATTTGGAAATGTAGTCTTTACTAATTGAAGATTATTTTTGGGTTCCATTGGAATAAATTTGAAAACTTTTAAGAATTAAAAATATTTTACAATAACAAAACAAATAAATTAATTAAACAGGTATACCTTCTATGATATTTTAATCCTCAATGATTTATTCCTTATAGTCAGGGGTTAGTCTTTATTTTTTAAAGGAAATTTAAAAAATCATTATATTCAATAAATATATTTCATTAAAATTTAAATTCTTTTTATTTTTTAATTTATTTAATCGAAAAATTAGAAAAAAAGGCTTGAAAAGAGAGAGAAGGGAAATATTTTATTGTTTATTTAGCTTTTAAAGAATAATTTTCATTTTTAGTTTAGATTTTTTCTCAGAGTTATCTGAAAAAATTATTTTATGTTGCTTTGACAACATTTATGTTTAATTTAAAAATTAATTAGATAGAGGGAGTTAATATTCATTAATAAATGAAATAAATAAATTAATTAATTAGTATTTTGGAAATTAAAAGGTTTAAAAATTAAAATTAAAAAAATTAAATATTTTAATATAGACAGACAAAATTTTTAGATATCTTCAAAATTAAATATTAATCAAGTACATTTTTAAGAAGATTTGTAAAAACAATTTTTTCTTCCTTTGGCCGACTTGGAATTTAATGACAATTTTAAAAATATTTTTTCTAAAAATAAAAGATTCAATTAAATATTTTTTTGTAACCAACAACTATTTGAACTTTTTTGTAGCTCTCCAGGATTCTTGAAGAAGGATTTTTTCCTATTTGATGGAGTTGTCTTGGTCTCGTCATTTTCGAAGTTTTTTGAAATACTCCTCATTACTTTTGTTTGGTTTCAAATCGTCAAATTGTCCACAATTGTTTATAATTGCATTCCCTTTAATAATAATTGTTTTGCTTTTTGTTAAAGGAAAATACTAACTTGTTTTTTTCGTTTATTTCCTTTTTTATAAGCCAGTAGGAAGTAAAAATTTTATTTTATTTGAAATTTTTTTGTCAATTTTTGGGCATTTTTATGGTCATTTAATGGCAATTTTTGGTTATTTTTGAAAAATTTTAGAAAGTTTTTTTAAAGATTTCATTATTTTTAGTTATCTAAAATTAAAAAAATACTATTTTATAGTCCTGAATTAAAAGAAATTTTTTGTTTGTTTTTTAAATTTAGAAATTTTCCAGACATTTTATTTAATTTTACTTACTAAAAAATTCTAAAATAATGATTAAATCTGATGGAAATATTTCGGAAAATGAAGAAAATAATTATGAAGAAGAAGAAATAGAAGAAGAATATTTTGTTATATTAAATAACTCTATAATTGACAAAGGTACTGTTTAATTTCAAAAAATATTTTTTAATTTCCATAAACCAAGAATATTATAAGTATTCCTCGCTCTCGTGTATCCCCCCTCCCCACATTTCCTTTCCTTAACAATATGTACGTATTCATAATTAATTTCCTAATTTTGGGGGTCAAGAAAACATACTGGGTCGAAATTAATAAAAGCGTTTCAGATATTTTTTTCTTGTTGAGTATAGAAAGAAAAATACATAAATTAAAAAAAATAAAATAAAGTACAATATTACAATATTACTACATATCTCTATCTTCTTTATTAAATATTAAAAGGACATAATGAGTATTTTTGAAGGGAAGTTTGTCCAAAAACAATAATAACTTTTTTATAAATTTATTTGTTTTTTATGTTATTTATTTTATAAATAAAAACAAGTTTTTAAAAAGATAATTATCAATATTACTTTTGGAAAAACAGAAATTTGAAATTTTATAAAAATTGAGTTACTTTCATTTAAAAAATTTATTTTTAGAAATTATTTTTTAATAATTAAAATTTAAAATTATGTCGAGAGTGTCAGAAATACTCAAATGACGGAAATTCAAATTTCGTCTCCCCTATTGTCTATAAAAATTTTTTTTGGATTATTTCCAAATTTTTAATAATTTATGTTATTTGTCTTTAATTTAATTTATAATGTTACTGAAAGCATGTCGAGCCAATTGATCTACAAATATTGTGAATGGGGGTTTTGTGTTAACAAAATCCCTAATACATGTACATACTAGATACAAAATAAAAATTTAAAAATTTTAAATAAATTCGCGCGTTTTTATTTTCGTAGATTTTATAGCCATTTTGGCTTTTTTTAATATTTTTAGCTTTTCCCGCTCTTTTATTTTTAATTTTTATGGTTTTTTTTTTGCTTTTTTGACCTTTATTTTTTATTACTTTATTTTTGAATGAAGGGAAAAATAAATATTTTTAAGAGAATTTTTAAAATTTTTTTAAATAAGAAAATTATTTTATAATTTGTATATCTACCAGAATTTAAAAAATACAACGGATCGGTGTTTATTAAATAGGGAGTATGGCTTAGGCATAGTATGGTCCCCCATCCAGACTATCCAAGTTTAAAAAAAACGTTAATTTTCTAACGTTTTCAAGCAATGTCCAATAAAATTCTTTAAAATAATTTATTATAACTAAATTTGTAGTATACATATTTATTTATTCATTTACTCAATAACCCCCCCCCCTCCTTTTTTTTTATTTTCTCACTCACTCACTATATATCTCATTATTATATTTTTGTTATTATTGTTCGTGCCAACAAAAACAATGCAGCATTCGCACCTAAAAAATAAAAAAATATATTTTTTGACTGACAGAT